TTTGTGGGACGTTTTACAAAGAGTTCTTTTTGCATTCTGTTTTTCTTTCACTTTTTTTTTTTTTTTTTAATTTGCTCTCTTCTCATTCTTGCTTCAAAGATCCAGTTTGCAAGGATCAACAGATCCAAAGATCTGCTGAAAGCTTTATGAAGTCTATGTGCTGATACTGCGTGCAGCAGTGTTTTTCTGCCCAACGCTGCTGCACACATTTGTATGTATGTATTTTAAAGCTCACAGAGGACGTCTCTCATTATTACTCTCACTAGCAATGATGGGATGCTTTTCACCATGCTCTTACACTGCTAACTTCTCATACCATCAAAGTCCTGCTGGCTTTCCAGGCTTGAGAAAAGGCATCTATTTTTTTGTTTCTCTCTTTGATTTTACTGAATTGAACTCGCCCTGGTTAAGTGCTGCACTCAGCACTTCAGGTTGCTGTGGGGCTGGTGCTTTGCATTGATCCTTACACTGATCCACCAGGAGATATGATGGTAGCTTGAATTGTTTACTCTGTTTCCTGACCTAAAAGCAAAAATGAAGGGTGCTCTCCAGTTATGCAAAGGGACTTTGCTGGGCCATTGGTAGGCTGGAGGTACGTGCTGATGCTTTGTGAGGACCAGTCCAGCACTGAAGTCGCTGACAAAATTTAAAGGACGGGGAACAGTGTCGAGTCCCCTCAACAAATACCAGCCCTAAATTCCCCATGTTCCTGCTCAGAAGGCAGCGACTAGCTCTGCTTGCAAGCTGTTAGTAATCTAAAGCTAATAATGCCACAAACGGTTCTTCCATGAGTCATTGCGTCAGCTGTGGTTGCTGCCTCGGACTCCTACAAAAATAACATGGAAACTTTTATTGCCCAGCTCAGTTTCGCCTCCTGGTGCACTTGCTGCAAGTTCCTGGGATCTGTGTGTTGGTCCCAGGAATCCGCACCATTTGGTGCCCTCCTTCATCTGGCTGCTGCTCCATCCACACCTTGCGCTGCAAGCTGTTGTCATCAGTCTGCGCTTGGGGTTTTATTTGAGGGGAAGAATCTGGGTGGTTTCCTGAGCTTGTGTTTTCTGAGCTGTGCTCTGGGGAAGAGATGACGCTGCTCTTTAAGTGGGTCAGTGCTGGGACCAGTGGGCTCCGTGTTGGATCAGCGCTGTCTGCAGAGGGCTGTGTGCTTGCAGCTGCAGTCTGCGGGCAGCGTGGTGAGCTGGAAGGCTTCTGCCTGTGTTTTTTCTTGGTTGCTAATAGTAGCCCACTTGCTGCATCTGTGTCTCTCTCAACCCACCTGTCATTTGCTATCTCATCAGTTCATTTTACTCAATCTGCTGTGCTGTACAGAACACACCTACCCCCGTTTTGTTGTGGCAGAAGACTGCCTTTAGCTCTGTATTAAGGTCACATTGGTACTGCTTTTGTTCAAGTCATGTCAGCACGCTTCTGTAATACCTTTCTCAGGGCTTTTAAGCCCAGCAAATGAGTGCCCTGGTGGCTGTGCCTAGCTGCAAACTGGGGAGATGCACAGCCTATTTGTTTCTCACTTTTTTAAAGATGTAGTTCTGGAAAATACCTGCAAAAAGGCATTTCAGACATCCACGTTTACTGTAATTTCAAGGCACTTCTTAGCCCGACTAGATTTTCACAGAAAATGTAGCATTTTTCTGGCTTCTATCAGTGCAGGTCCAACCAGGGTACAAGAAATGCAGCATGATGGATGCTGAGGGGAGCTGGGTGTGCTAGGAATAAAGGTGTGAGGCTGTCAGGCAATTTGTGTGTCACTCAGGAGTAGTTATGGGATCCATGTGGGTTTGTGTAAGCAAAAGGAAAGGAAAAGCCACCTTCCCCTTAGGAGTGCAGGCAGCAAAGCAGCTTGTTGTGTCACCAAAACCTGTGGAGGTGGTGCTGGCTGAAGGTCTCTCATTGACTAATTACTGGGTGAAACCTTCTGAAGTAGAGTGATGGAATTTTTCAATAGCCGTGGTTTGGGGCTTTTACTCTGGGGAGGTGGATAAGGCTCTAAGTCAACCTCTGGTTGTTCTCTTCTCTTTCTAACTGTGTAGAAAATACGAATGAACCTGTAATTGTTTCTCATCTCTGTTGGGTTCAGGGTAGTTGGGTGACTTTGCTGATTTTTCCCAAATCTGAGATTCTGTGAGAAGGTTTGTCTGTGACAAGCAGTGCCTTATTTTAGATGAAACTAATAAAGCAGTGAAGAAGCTTCTGTTGCGACTGTTCATCTCCTAATTAAAGATGAGTTCCGTCAAGCAAGCAGTTTTTGGCTGCTCTCTTTTGTGTGGGTTTCACAATATTTCTTACTCATCTCGGCACAAGTTGTAGTAATTCATAATTCCACTGTGAAACACGCACAGGCCTCAAAATTTCAGGGATGTGAGCAGTAAAGTGCACAGAACTTCTCTGAATCTAAATATTTTTTTCTTTGATCGCTTCTGGAGACAGCAATTAATTGAAATCTTGTAATATTTCAGAACGGGAGGAGCTGGAAGAAAAAAAAAAAAGCCAGCAACCCCAACATGGTTATCGGAGCGCTGTGCTATTTATGGTCAGATATATTTTCAACCTCCAGGGCTGGAATGGAATGCTTTGTGCTGCTGGAGCTGGGGAGCTTTCCTCGCTCGGGTGTGTTTGGACACAGATTTTCAAACTGTCTTTTTCTGGAAGGAAGCACGCGGGCATGGCTCCAGCTCCGAGTTGTGCATCCATGTGTGAGTTGTAATGCAGTGTTTCTCGTTCTTGGTACACGTTTCTCACTGGGCTTTCTGGTAAATAGGTTTCAGCAACGCAGCGTGACTAACAGGGCATACTTTGAGTAATTTGATGCATTTGAGTTACTTGAAATTATTTGACCCAGTATTTTAGAAACAGAATGTGCCTTGGCTTTTAATTGTTCCTGGTATTTGGGAGGAGAGAGCGGAGCGACGAGTTTGAAAATGCGCTGACGTTCATCAGCTATCAGACAAAATGTCTGCAGGGTTCGATCGTGGAACCCAAACGTGCCAGCAGTCTGTGGGGCTGAGCCTCCAGCCGAGGGCCGCACCCTGACATTTATTTCACGTGGTGCTGAGTGAAGTGACGCAGCGTTCGGTGCTGCTTTTGGATTTAACGTGAGCATGAACGCTCCCGCGGCCTACCCAGGCCTGCAGCCTGCCAGGCCCCGCGGCCTACCCGGCCTTCGTCTTTCCAGGCCCGCGGCCTACCAGGCCCTCCCCGCCGGCCTGCCCACCTCCCTCCCTCCCGCGGCTCCAGCGCTTCCGGGCAGCTCCGCCCCGCAGCGGGCTGTCGGCAGGACGGGGTGGGCCGGGCCGGGCCGGAGCCCGGGAAGGGTCGGGGCTGTGCTCACAAGGCTTGGCCTTGCTGAGGGCTGCAGCCTTAGGAGAGCTCAGAACCCACTCAGAACTCAGCTCCCGTTCTGACCCAAAGAAATCCTGAAGGCTTCCACATAAAAATAAAAGTCGTCAGTGTTTTCGTTATAAATAATTAGCGCCAACAGCTTACATGCATTAAGCAGAAACATCGTGACTTCTAGACCTCAAAAATCCCCTGTTTGCGCTTCTGCTTGAGCACATTGTAAATAACTCTGAGCTGTTTGGGTAAACAGTGCGGCAATGAGCTGGTTCTGTTTTGTTTGTCAACAGCTCCTTTTGCTGCAGGAGCTGAAGCTCAGGGGTTCTGCACACTTGGTGGGGAGAGACTGCAGAATAAGCTTTTTCTCTCAAATGCTTCATCAAAATATTCTTGAGTGGCGTTAGGATGTTTTTAAGCAAACAAAAGCAAGTGCGATTGATTAAATAATAATAATAAAAAGATGTAATTTATCTTGGATGTTTTCCCCTGCCTTTGAAGGGTTATAGATCCTTTCCCTGGACTACTTGCTTTCCCTTGCTGCTGTTGGATGTAGCACTGGGTGAGCGCTGATGGTTGGGACCCGATGTCTCAATGTTTTTTTCCAACCTTAACAATTCCATGATTTTTCGATCTGCTCACTGCTCAGCATTGGGTCCAAGCTGGGTGGCTGTTGTTTGCTGTGCCCTGGGTCTGCTCTGTGTGGTTGTTCCCTGGAACAGGCAGACAGAGTTGTTGGTGTCACCGTAGGGTCACTCACCTGGTGTGTCACCAGGTACTCATTTCAGTGCTGTGCCCTATTAGCAGTGTGTGCTTGGGCTCAAGCTGCCTAGTCCTAAGGCTGTACACACAGTTGTTAGCTGTTGTTAGCTGAAGTGAAGGATTAAGTTGGGTGCTTGCGCTGTGTCTGTGTGTCCAGTTATGTTTTCCAGGTAACTGGGAGGGAGTTAGCTCTGAGGCTGCTGTTTCGGGCTGTGCCACTCGATATATGTCGCAGGGCTAGGTGATGCACGTATGGAGAAAGGAGCTGCAAACAGGAGCATTTGGGGCAGCCTTCCTGCCTGTGCTCAGGGGATCTCTGTGGGAACGCTGCAAAGTGTCCGGCTTAGCTGAATGTGAGTTGGGAGCTGAAACTCATGAAAAGTTTTGAGAAAAACAGAGTAGAGGTTGGTGCTTTAAGCTGGGTGGCGTACTCCTCGCTCTGTCATCTGTCTGTGGTAATTCAAGGAGAACAAATTCCAGGTTTTGTAGGTCCTGCTTGTTTCATTACAGAATGCACATACACTTCTGCCTGCTTCCATCAGCAATCCATCAGCAGGCTGAAAAATTGAGTTATGTTAATTTTCATTGATGAAATTAGTGGTTCTGAGAGGAAGATGATCCATGAGCTGCTATGCTAATGGGAAAGATAGACCTACTGGACACTGGATTTGACAGCACGAATTCTGTTTCTGTTGTGTTCTGTTGGAAACCTTGCCTTGACAATTTTTTGCCTAGATGGGCCAATAATTTGCTGAAGTGGAAGAGATCAGTTATTCTCTTCTGAAGGCACTGCAAGAACGTAGAATAACTTTGTATTTAAGCATAAGCATTAATATCAAGCATAATACTGAGAATCTAAAAAAGCTCATTATATTTGTTGTTTCTCTTTTCAGGTTTCCTCTTAAAAAACCTACAAGGTAAGTTGCTGACATTTGGCTGCTTACGTACATTGCACGTTGTAACACAGTATGGTTGAAGGAGGAGTGCTTGTTTAAAAAAAGAAAAAGAAAAGCATGCAAACCTAGAAGTACCCAGTACAGATGAGATCAGATTAATAGTTAGATCAGGATAAGGTGCTAAGAATTTGGTGGTGTACTACAAGTGCATGGTGCAGTGCTGCCTTTTGCTGTGCATGCCGGATGGTCATCGTAGCTAGGATTGGAGTGGCAGATAAAGCAACACTGCTTGTGCACAGCATGCAGGCATTTCCTTCAGGTGGTTGGTGTGGTTGGTGGTGGGTGTTCCATGCCTTTAACTTCTGCATGGATGGGTGTTTAATGTAAAACGATTTGGGGAGGTTTTTCAGTTTTTTGGGAGATCACTTTTCATCTTGCAGACAGTCTGGAAATAGATTTAGCGCTGAGCACAATGCGTGCCATCTTTACATCTCTGTAAACTCGCTGCCATCAGGACTACTTAAGGTTATTTCCAGAGACTCACAGGTGGAGCAGGGCTGTTGTGTGCAGTAGTCAAGACTCTGCTTTGCTTGCCACAGGCACGGCAGCATTCTGAGCAGAGAGTCTCCAGCAGACAAGAAGCAGAAGGTTGAGCGCTGCAGCAGCACCCACGACTTCGATCCGACAGGTAAAGCTTTAAAACTCCGCGGTTGAAGATCCAGGCCTGGGCTTCTGGGGATCAGAATGAAACCAGTTTTAATGTGTCAACATATGTGGTGTTCAGGAGTGTTGCTGTTCTGTGCTTGCAAAGCCCTTCTGAGGCATGCAGGCATTGAAATGAATGCAGGCTTGCTTTTAAAGACGCTCATCGACAAAGTAGCTGTTAATTGTGTGAGAATAAACCCAGATTAGTGGTGTCAGTGAGTAATTACAACTGCTTCCTCTTTCAGAAAAGTTAGTCTGAAATTTCAGGAGGCAAACACTGTAATTAGTTGTCAGTCGTTCTTTTGGCTGTTGAGTAGAAAAAGGCGTGAAATGTGAGACCCTACAGACTCAACTAGAGCTAATATTCCTGATTGGATCTTTTGAACTGTGGTGGATTTTGAACCATCTCTGTCCTTTGTGAAATGAGTTTGTGCTTTCCAACGTGATGCATTTTATGATGAGCTTCTGTTTTTTTAAAGGCTATGCTGTCCTATTTTTTAACCTTCTGAGAGGTCAGCTTGTTCAACCTGTCCAGTGCTGTCATGGGAAATTAGGGTGCATGCAGGGATTTTTCCTTCCTTCTGTGAAAGACTAACCCAGTGACTACTGTGTGTGTTCATAAAATGCATGAAAGGCTCTTGCCTGAGCCTCCTGGCCCCATGCAATGTGCTTTTCCATGTCTGTGCATTCTGCTGTTTAGTCCAGTCAATTCCCTGGGGCTTGTGGAAGAGATGAGAGCTGAATTGGAAGGCTGTAAAACTTGCAGAATGTGTTTTTGCACTAGGCATTTGGAGCTGATGTTTATAAATCGTGCTGTTCGTTAATGCTTCCTGCCACTGGCTGCATCACTCCTTCCTGATGTACACAGGATAAATTGAAATGGGCTTTTAATGTCTGTTTAAAAAAAAAAAAAAAGGGAAAAAATCTGAATTAGTGGTTGTTGTCCTTTGTCCTTGGGATATGTAATGTAGAACTGTGGGGGTGGCTGAGGGAGGGCTCAGGCTATGAACCTCTTTGGTAGAAAGAACTCTTTGGAAGCAAACCTCAGGAATCTTTTAATCTCAATTTGATAAAAGTAATTCAAAATTTTGAGGGCTGCTACCTGGCACCACTTTTAGGATGCTTGTGATCTGGTCTGATGGATGAACTCCACACTGTAGCCTCCATAAGATTCCCTTCTTTCTAAGGGGTGAATCCAGAATGCTGTACCGCTGTGCATACATTTATTACTTACTCTGAAGATGGGTTTCCATGGATTTCCATGTCTGAACTGTTTTTTGCCCAAAATATTTTCTACAGTTCATAGCAGAGAACTTCCTTTATTGTGTCTCAAATCCTGTGATAAATTCTTTGTGGTGTTCCCTGTGCCTTCATGCTCGTATTATTCACCCCTTATTCCAAGTGTTTCACCTATGTTTTGTTCACATCTTATTTGTGTTTTGCACGATTTAACCTAATAAATCAGTCTGTGTTTTTCATGAAGTTTTTTTTCTTCTCATGTTTGGTCTCCATATTTTCTATATCTCTCTCTCCTTCTCTCCTGCTCTCGTGCAGATAGCTCCTCCAAGAAGACAAAGTCTAGTTCGGAGGAGAGTAGATCCGAGACGTATGGTAAGCTCCAGCAGCTGCTGCAGCCTTGCACCTTTGCAGTCTGCTCCATGCTTTCTGTCTGTGCACCTGAGGCTTTTATTTATCCCTTACCTGGTCCGCATGGTTGGCTCTGCAGCAAGGAGTGGGATACTGGGTTTAAATGTTGCTTCAGTGTATCAGCTTGTAGTTCTTGTAGTGCCTGGAAACTAACCCACAGGTGGCAAGCACAGGTTGTCACCCCTTCTCCTGATCTCTTCCTAACTGGGAAAACTTGGTGGGGCTGCTGTTCTTGGAGACATTGTGCCATCATGTGTTTTTGGCACTGTATGAAGGTGGCTCATGCTGGGCTCCACATGAGCGTGTGTAGTTGTAGAAAAGTCTGCCTTGCTCTGATTGTAGCAGTTAATCTGGATGAGCTGGTTGTAGTTCACATTTTGCACTCTCTGGTAAGGATCTCCTATCAGTTTCTTTTCATTTTTCAAGGAAGGGGGAAAAAACATCTCTGAAAATAATTAAAAAAAAAAAACATGGAAGAATGTGAACTTAACCATTCTTCATTCAAAAGAAGGGAGTAACTTCCCTGCTCCTTTGGCATTGCTGTGTACTGCTGTGTTGTCAGCTGTAGGCTGGAACAAATAGGCATGAAGCGGTCTGGGACAGGAGTAGCCTCACACATCATTGTGTTGCCAGCACGCCACCATGGGTGCTGCTGGAAGGGATGTCTGCTGAGCAGAGCCTGTTTGCTCGTCCTGCTTTCTTCAGCTTGCATCAGATATGTTAGTCTTTAGACTGCGACACTCTTCTTCCTACCCTTATGTTAACGACCTGTTGAATTTGTGATCCCTAATGAGATTTGCACTCATATGTTAAGAAATTAACTGCAGTAAGTTTTCACAGGTTGATGGGTGCTGTCTTGAATTCTGCCAGCTTGTGAGACCCTTGGGCCTGGGCTGAGCCTGGCCAGTACTGCTGCACATCTTGTTTCTCATCTTGTATTTCCAGCTCTGTCTTGACTCCAGTCATGGGCTGGCCTTCATGCCCTTCCCTTTTTCTTCCTGGTATTTGAAATACTTGTCCCTAATACTTTCTGTTTCGTATTTTTCTTTGCTGGTAATTGTGCTTGCTGTATAACCTCCTGTGGCCTTGGAACAGATACAATGAGTCTTGAAGTATCAGCTGCGTTGTTTCACTCCAATAAAGCTACCTGTTGTTACTGTGATCCAGCTTCTTAAACTACCTGAGTAATAAATACATGTTGCTGTCATAGCTCTGATTGTAAGGAACGTAAAGAAATAAAACAGAGCAAACAAAAAACCCATAGAGTTTCTTCTAAACCAACACAGGCATGTTAGCAAAGCCATTCAGTTGTGGTTTAGGGAGCTGTTCTTTCTGTTAGTAGGGAATCTCTTTGCTTTCCCTGGATTTTGAATCATACATATTTCTTATTAAAAAAAAAACCAACAGGAAGTAATGTGAGACGGTTGTGTTCCTCAGGAACTGTGAACAGGTTTTGAGAGTGCCTTAATTTGCTTCAGTAGAGCTGGAAACCTTACCTGCTGCAGGTTACAGATCTGCCTTCTCTGCTCAGAAGGAATGAACAAGGAAACAACCTGCTCAGAAGGTGCATATTTGAGGGTGATGTTTCTGATGAGCTTATGCTGAAGCCTTGACTTGTTCTTTCCTTTGCTGGGTTGATGCTGGCTGGTGACAGCACAGCTGACTGGATCCTACGGCTTGCACCATCATTGTGCCTGATGCTGCTTACCCATAATATACTGGAGGTGCTGTCAGACTATTCTAGTTTAATTACAGGAAACATTTGGTATGCTTAATGGAATGTATCTGTGTTTATACTTCTCCCTCAGTCTGCACAGTGTCCTGGTTTTCATGTATGGCAGAAAGAAACATGACTTCCTAACTTAAGCTTTCGCTTCCCCCAAAGTTTCCTGCAGATGCTCTGTCCGTGCCCAGTATCTCTGGGAGCAGTTTCCACTCATCCTTCCTTTCCTATGGCCTTTTCTGTGTTGGACCTCGCCCTGCCTTTTGTCTCTCCCCTCTGCTTTTCCCAGGTCCTGTGGTATGTGCAGAGAGGTTTGTTGTTTGCTTTGGAAGGGACCGAAATATTTTAAGATCTGCAAGTAGAAATACTGTACTGATATTTTTCTGGCTGGTGACTGGCTGTTAACTGGCTCGTTCTTGGGCTAGCCTTTGGAAGGGGGGTAATAGGAAAGTCCTGAGTGACATCGGGGAAAGGAGGTGATTTCGATGTATGAGTTTGTTCTGACCTCTTGAAATCCTTAATTGAGGAGCACTAGACCAGATTTTTTGTTTGAAATATCTGAGTGGTCTGGGGGGGGGGAGTGGTTAGGTAGGAAAATGTTTTGAGATACAGAAGCTGATTTATGATCGTATTAAACTTAGAGTGAGGTATTTTCTCCCATAAATCCAGATTCGTGTCTGGGTTCTCAACAAAGACTAGATGACGAGCAGAGTGATTGGGTATAATTTCAGGTATGCTATAATGGAGTAATTAGTGCCACAGCCTTCACAGTGCTTAGTACCTCTTGCTTGAAGTAGAATTCCTGTCTCTCAAACAAACTGATAATTGAAAGTAACTCTAAGGGGGAGAGCTTGGATGTTGGTTACCTTTCCCCACAGCATGGTTGCTCTCCAAAGATGCCTTCTTTTATATTCAGCAATGGTCATTTCCCAGCCCAAATGATAGGCTAGGCCTTATGCACACTCTTCCACTTTGTTACCTTCAACTTTGGGGCAAGTTTTTAAATCTTTGGTTTTGTTTTGCTTTGAAAAATCCACATTTTGCCCCTGTTGAAGTGTTTCTACAATCAAACCCTAGAGAATCTTTCCTTACTCTTCCTGTTTTCTTTCCTACCAGCTTTGTGTCTTTATGCTGGGACCGTTTTTCCAGCCTATTAAAAGACCTCTTGGGAGCCCATGTGATACAACTGGCCCTGATGAGAGCAAGGGGCCCTTGACCACAGGGACTGAATGCATTGTTGCTATGGGAGCTGCCAGTCCTACGTTTAATGGTTAAAACACATTGTTCCTTTCTTCTAGGAAGGCTACCATACCTAGTTTTGTGGATGGCTTCTAGTGCCATGGTCATGAACAGCTCTATCAGGGGTCTGTGTGCTGCATCATTTCAGATGGTACAGTTTTTGCTTTGGCTTTATCTGACTTCTGTTGCCAAGCTTGTAGAGGAATCTGAAGAATGCCTCCAATATGGCATTTTGCATGGAGAACGTGGTAATAACTAAAATATAGTGAAATACAAAGATTTCCCCCGATGAGAAATTTCCTGTATGAAAGCTGATGGTTTTATTCATTTTGTGGAGCGGGTTTTCTGCAAACACTGGCTGGAAATAAAGCTTCCCTCCCAGAGTGAAACATTTGGACGTTCTCAAAGCCCCAGGGAGTTTGTTTTTGTTTATCCAATGATTCACGTCCAATCACTGTACTGAATTGCATTTTCCCATTGTGGCCTCAAGCCTCTGGGGAGGTTATAGTTGAGAAGTCTCCTCCCATGCTGTGTCCCACACAGTTGGAGCAGAGCAGGAGCTCCTTTTTGCTGTGGGAGCTGTGATTCGTGGCTCTGCTCTTTGGAGAGTCAAGTTTTCAGTATCAGTTCCTGATTTATTTGGAAGGTGAAATTTGGTGTTTTATCGAATAGCTTCAAAACGTTTAGCATCTGTAGAGATGGTAAATGATCTCTGCAGTAAGGAGGCTCGTGGGCTGTTGAAATGTGTCTGCCCAAACTGCCTGAAATGCTCATTTTTACCATACTGTGCTGTGACCTTGGAGTTGGGACTTCAGCCTTCCTGCTGCCCAGAAGTTGCATTGTGAGGGGCTGCAGTGTCCCAGAGGGAATAGTGCCACCTATTGAAGAGTTGGTCTTCTTCCCTGTAATGCCTTTTTGTCTGAGGTTGTTCGTTCCTAGCTGCTTTCATTGCGTGTCTCAGGCATCTCACTGCAGTGCACACTGAGCTGCTTTGCTGCACCCTTGGCTTGAGGTCCCAGCAACTTTCTGGAACTGCAATATGCATGACGAGGAAAAAGGATTTTAAAGATATTTTTTTTTTTTCTTATAGAATCTTAGGAATCTACTCAAAATATGAAAATCTATTTATTTTTTATTTAATTTTTACTTAAAACATAGTTACAGTGGTGTTTCCTCATTGCAAGACATTGTCGTGTGAAAGCAAATATGGGAACAAGATCATTCCTGCTTTGATTTTGATCACTGTCAGCAACGAGTTCATTGACCTTGTAATTTTTCTTAAACTTCAGCTGGAAAAAGTGAGATACCACAGTAAGAATGAACACAACGAGCAGCTCAGTTTCTGTTCAGCACAAGTGAGAAATGAATGAAATGTGAATGAAAACCCATCACTGCTTGCTTGCGTGGGCTCTTCATTGCTGCTCCAAGCTGGCAGACTTGTCTTGAAGTGGGTGAAGTTGTTTCCAGGTAGTGCTTTACATCTCTGTAAGAGTGCTGTGTGTCTTTCTCAGGCATGGCTTCTCAGCTGGCCTATGTGAGCCTCATCATAATGTGCTAGAGAAGGGCTGAGTGCTGCTTCTTATCCAGGTATAAGTGAACAACTACAGGGAAATGGCAATACTGGAATAGTTTGGGTTTGTGTGAGCCCAATTAAATGATGGTCTTGGATAAGACTGAGACTTGTGCTGTGAAGCTGTGTAACGTGGTTATTGCTGGGACTTAACTAATACTCTGACAGGTCAGCTTTTGTTGCATCCCCTAATGCTTTGCCTCTGCTTTGGCATCAGGTTCATTCAAGGAAGAAGCTTATCAGTGCAAGATCCAGGGGTTATTGGTTCTGGGAGAGAGAGTTGTCATGGCAGAGCAGTGAGTACACAGGGCTGTGCTGTGCCTTTAAGCAAGGAAAGTTCTTATGAGTCAAAAGCTTAGTTAGTGTCTTACTCATAAAACCTGCACGTCTGGCAGCAGGGTTTAAAAGGAGCTGTTTTTATGAAATAGCATGTGTTCTCTTTCCCACACCCCACCCTGGGGCATCATTCTTGTGAAGTGAGACGAAGAAGCTTGGTCATATAGAAAAATGGGAGGTACAAAAGGGAGAGGCATGTTCTCTCACTGAAGTGTATGAAGAGGGTGTGAAAGGTGGTGGTTTTTCTTCCTCCTGTCTGCTTTCACTTTACGTCCATCTCTGCTCTGCTCATCGTACGTCACTGTGTGTAGTGACATTTGTTGCAACTTTCTGAGCAGAAGGGGGATTACTGGGGTATGGTACTGGGATCAGGTGGATGTAGAAGTGCTGCAGTGCAACCTTCTCCACCACTCCCACACTGCTTCCACATGGGCCACGCTCCAGGAGAACAGGGCTGACTGGGTAGGCAGTGTTTCATTTGAGACTCCTCATTTCCATTGGGAGTTGCTGCAGAGCCACACTGATGCAAAAGCAATTTAAAACATGGAGGTGACTTTGCACTCTTACAATTCTTTCCTTACAAAATGATTCCAGCAAAGACTGTCGTCCCAATTTCTTTTGTTCCTGCCACACCAAACGTTGCTTCAAGTTGCTATCTGATTGTGGAAGAGAAATCCAAGTCTGTCTCAAGATGCTGGTGGCAGAATTTGTTGCCTGACGTGGCTTGAGAAGCGAAGCAGCAAAGCAGGCTGCTGGAAGGAAGGTGATGTTTAGTAGCTAGTGGTTTCTGCTATGTAAATAAAACAACGTCCTTGAAGCATTTTGCAGAGTTCTAAAGTTGTTCTTCCAGATAAAGGCTCCTTTGTGGTAGGTGCCGTGCAGATGCTCTCAGGGAAGTGCTCTGCAGTGAGTGTGCAGGGGCTGCTGCCTTCTCCTTTTTTTCCCCTTGTTTCACTTCCAGGTGAACAACAGACGTACCTTGCACTTTGCTTTTTCAAAGTGCTGCACCTACTGAGTACATCTGTCTTTGCAACAGTGTTTGTGTTCACACTATAACACTATACTGAGTATTTCCAGTAAGAAAGACAGTTTTCCTTTGATGTCACACAGCAAGCAGGAGGAGGAGCAGATTCAGACTCAGAACTGCTGACATTTTGGCTCCATTCATAGATCAGAAATAGCTCAGTGAGAGGCTGGGTCTTGATTTCTGAAGTGTAGCACCTGTGGCATGAGTAACATGAGTTACTCCTCAATGCTCCTGCTCTGGGTCTGCACTCACCTGGAACAGAAGGAGCTGAGCTGAGATTTTTGCAGAAGAACTTTTCCTGGTCAGTACATCTGCGTTAGTACAACCATTGGTGTTGGTGTGAGAGATTTGTGACCTATTTGCATTTTTTTTTTTAAAGTAGCATGTAGAAATTGTTGTTGATGGTGTACTGGACGTTATGAGCCAATGCCATGCTTTGAAGAGCCATTGGTTTGCACAGAGATAAATTGTGCTCATTGGTACATGCACATAGCTGCTCTTCTTTACAACCTGCTGTTACCTCAGGTTGTGCCCGATGTGCCCAAGCTGTCTGCATCTCTGCTGTTGTTCATCTCTGTGCTGTGGAACTGAAGCAATAAGCTTGACCTGTCTTGACATTCCTATCTGTTTCTGGACTGCTGCCCTGTTTCTGTCTGTCATATATATTTCCCTCTGTTGTCTTGTACCAGTTTCTCTCTGTGCTCTGTGATTATCTAGGAGGATAAGGTTTTGGACTGATGCCTAGCTTGTGTCTCTTTGTATTTCTCTCTTTCTCTTTCTTCTGCCCTTTCTGCACCTTTCTTATGCAGGTCTTGTTCAGCGGTGTGTTGTTATCCAACGGGATGAAAATGGATTTGGGCTGACAGTCAGTGGAGACAACCCAGTCTTTGTGCAGTCTGTCAAAGAAGGTAAGCAGACATGTTAAATGTGCTGACCAGAGAGCAACCTAGAGGGTTTGCATGTGAATCAAAGAAACGTGTGCATGAGCTGGAGAAGAAAGCTCCAAATTCTTTCCTTGTGGGTGGGATGGCTGTAGCCATCAGAAACTTTGGAACAGATGTGCATGGACAAAGGGTGTTGCACTGTTGGGATGCAGTGAATCACCTCTCTCAGCATCTTGATGTATTTGCAAACTGACTCTCACATTTGAAAGGAAATAAAGAATTAGGGTGACGTGGTGGGATTGCGGCTTGTATCTACTGCAGAGTGGAAAGAGAACCTTCTTCAGTCTAGATACTCAGAGATTTTAGTCTGATTAAAAAAAGAGGAAGCTGGAGTGGGAATGGGAAGTAGCTTCTCATGGAAATACAGAAGTGTTTAAACCATTCCTGTTTCCTGTGACATTGAAATTGGAACTAAATGGTTTCTTGCTTCTCTAGATGGAGCAGCCATGCGAGCTGGAGTGCAAACGGGTGATAGAATTATCAAGGTAAGGGCATTCAGCTCATCTGAGAAGTTGATCCTTTCACTCAAATGAGCTCTTTTCTTGAAAGAAAGTCACTGATGTCTCTGCACTGATGTTTGCTTTTGCCTGTGGGGGAGAGGAGTGGTAGAAGTTTTCCTGTTTTGGGGACATTAACCACTGCAAGCCTACTGCTGAAAGCTGGTTTTGTTATGGAGATCATTCTCATCTCAGGACTTGATGCAAGTCCAACATCCTACAAGGTTCCAACAGCAATGTAGGGGAAAGGAGTAGATCTGTACCCAGAACAAACTTATCTCTCAGTCTCTAATGACTTACAGATTAAACCATAAACTAAAAGGACTTTGTAAGTCAGTGCTGCAAAATGATGGCTGTTATTGCTGCTGTGACACAGACATACTTGTTTGGAACCCCAGTTCTGTAAATTAATGAGTAAAATTAACTACCCTAAATCTTCTTTTGGTGGGTTGCTCTTCTGCGTTTGGTTGCTTGTTTCTTTTGGTGTGTGTCTGTGGTTTTCTTTTTGTAGAGCTCACTGAACAAACTCAGAGAGAAGTTGTTCATCCGTTAGTTTCTTGAAAGACAGAGGAATAGAGAAGGGGGAAAACATTACTGTTCCTCATTGTGCTGCATTGCTTATTGTGTAATGTGTGTGTACCCAAAGGAGATTTTCCTTGTCTGGAAAGCTGTAGCCAAACACAGTTTGCTTTCTTCTCTTCCCTCTGATATCCCCAGGTGAATGGCACTCTTGTAACACACTCAAACCATTTGGAGGTGGTAAAGCTGATCAAGTGTAAGTAAAGGCATGTTCCTATTTTATTTTTCCACTTTGCTCCTTTAAAAAGCATGAAAGGCAGAATTTAAAAGGACCAATGTCTAATTTATCTATCGAGTACACGGACAAGGTCCATGTCACTGCATAGATAAGTGACTCTGTGCTGGGAGGTAAAGGTGTGTGTAAAACAGGCAGTAAAGTGAAAGGTGGGGTGGCTGCTTCTGCAGTTTCTCCTTGGTTTGGCATCTGAAGTTACTGCCAGACCTTGCCTGCTATCTTCCCCTGTTTTGATTTCACCTGAAATGCTGTAGCTGCTCAGGCAGCATTAAGGCAGATTGCTTTATGTTGCGTGCAGAGCACTGGCATTTCCAAGGGAAGTGAATTCTTGGTTGGAAGAAAGTGTTAGCGGTGTTTTCTGCCCTAGCACAGTTTATTTTGTGGTATGAGTGTATGTATACTGTAAATGTAACCTGGCAGACTAGAAATTACACCGCGTGCTTTCATTAAGAATGATTATCACAAAAGGGGAGAGGAAATGGCAATTAGAAATCTGCAAGTATGTCTGAAATACGACTTCTGTTCTCCCTGCAGCGGGTTCCTATGTAGCTCTCACTGTTCAGGGGCGCCCACCGGGGTCGCCCCAGATTCCCTTGGCTGATTCTGAAGTGGATCTGGCAGCATTTGGGCATATGTCTCCCATCATGACATCACCCCATTCGCCTGGCACATCAGGAAATGCAGAAAGGATTACTAGCCCGGTGCTTATGGGGGTAAGATTTTAAAGTGTTCTTTCCAGAGAACCAATTTAGCAGTGGAAAAAATGTAGTCATGTATTATTTTGTTTTTTTTCCTCAAAGGAATTGTTTTGAGCTTCTTGCACAAATTGGAAATAGAATATTTGCCTGGCCACCCAGTGGGCGTTGAATCACGTGGGAAAAGCATGTTGCAAGTGCATATCCTGCCCCATCTGAGATAATGCAAGGGCAGTTGAGAGGTTACTCTGCTCCTAGGTTGGCTTTGAGATGTGCTCCAGTTTGCATGGTGTGAGATTATGTGATCACAGAGTCACAGAAAGGCTGAGGTTGTAAGGGACCTAAGGACCATCTGGTTCCATCCCTTGCCATGGGCAGAGCTATCTGTCTGATCCAGTGATGATATTTCTGTTAAGAATTGGACTGTAAGGTGTGCAGATTTGTGACAGGGAAATGAAAGCAAATGAATACACGGACACTTCTCTTTTTTTTTTCTTTCTTTTTTTTTCGTTTTCTGTAACTAACCCTTAATTCCTCTGTATTTTCTAGGAGGAGAATAATATTGTCCACAACCAGAAGGTGGAGATTCTGAGAAAGATGCTACAGAAAGAGCAGGAGCGGCTGCAGGTATTGGAATTTGTTGCTTGCCTTCAAGAGGGGTGCTGGAAAGGGAAGGGGCTGAATTATAAGGAATGGTTGTTGATGTTCAGTAGCATTCTCTTAACATGACTTCTTAACATGACAGTAGCATTCCTTAACATGACTTGTGTTTTCATCTAGCTCTTCTGTGTGCAGAGATCTGACTCTAATTGCTCTTGTTGATCAGCCCTGTAGTTTTCAATCCTTGTCAGGGTAGGAAAACAACCAGCAGTGGGTGCTTTAAGTGGAAACATACTTATATGTCAGTCTGGTCCAATCCTAGGACACGTGAGCATCTGTGACTCAAACTAAGCATGAGTCATTTCTCTCTGGGAGCGACAGTTGGCACAGTGCTCCTTGGTGCTGCTGAGTTACTGGTCTTCAGCTGTATCCTCACTGCAGTTGTGATTATTTCAGTAGATCTCTGGATTGCAGTCATGTGGCACAGGACAAAGGAGAGCTATTTAAAATAGACGTTCCATAGCATCTATAGAGGTTGTGCAAATGTACTGAATATTATTTAAGATGTGTAAGTGGAATGAAGATTAGTGGTAGGCTGTAGTTGTAAGCTCTGGTACCGAAGAGATCCTGAGTGATGAAGCCTCATAAAACTACTTTTCAGTCTCTGCAAGAAGAGTACAGCCGATCTTCCAGCTCACGACTGCTCAGAGAGATACAGGAAACAAAGAAGCACATTACTCAGCTGCAGGAGCAGCTGTCCAAAGCCACAGGCTGTGCTCAGGTAACCAAATGTGTCAGGCTTCTCTGTGATATGTTCTGGTTGAAAATTCTTGGGAGATGATGGTGTTCTGGGCAAGCAGGAGCTTTTTTTACCATGCTCTTTGGTGCTTGCACAGGCAGATGGCACCCTCTAGAGTTGAGACTTGTGCTGGCAGAAGCAATACAATGCAATGTCAGTGTATGAAGTGTGCTCTACAATGGGCTTCCAAACAGTCTGTGAAGGACTGCTTTTAAAGCAGTAAGTGCCAATTATGGAATGTATTAGTTTGTATGAAAACGTGGTATGATTTTCTGTTACCTTTTCTTAGAAGGTCATTGCAACCTCTTTTGGGTACGTGAAGAAAGTTTAATAAATGGTTTATAAATAAGATTTTATAAACGGGTTAGGCTTTGAAACAGCTTTTTTTTCCAGGTTTTGAAACAGCTAATGTTGGAGTACTGTCCCTTGAAATATTTTACTGGCTCAGTGCTGCTCACAGCTCACTTTATCTTTTCAGGATGGAGTTTTGTCCTCCAGGTCTGTGGCAGAATCGCTGCAGGTCAGTGAAGTGGAGGCAGAGAGTGGAGATGCTCTGAGCAAACTGGATTACAGTAGTGACAGCCCCTCTCGACCAAACAGTGACATTGCTGATGTGAGTATTGTACAGCTCCGTGGTTGGGATTCTGTACCTCTTGGATTTGCTTTCCTTGTGCAGATTTTTAAAGCTTGTGATGTTCTGTCTATTACAGATAGGTGCTGTGTCTCAATAAGGCTGTGTGTTACTAGAACAGGCTTTTAAGTACTCACCAAAGACATTTCCCTGAGGAACCGTACTACACTGGTTTTCCATTAGGGATTGGGAAAGCAATAGTGTGGGTTTTGGGTTCTTATCCAGGATTAGATTTTCCTGGCACACTCCCTGTAACCAGACAAAGAAAGATGGATGACAGCATCTTTCTCAAAATTGAGAGAGGCCAATTAAGAGTATCTTTTTAAGAGCACGTTAATGTTCCAATTACGGTAGCTGTGACTCAGATCCAGTCACTGGGCACATTGCCACGAAAGTGAGGAAGAGCCTTACTTCTACCAAATAAGCTTCAATTATTGCCAACAGTAAAAGCTCCTAGTCTGCTCTCTCTTCAGTTATCAATCTGTACTCGTATGGTCTCCTTATTGGAGTGCCTTAACACCTAAACCTTAATTAAGTCACTGTCTGATTAGTGCAGTGGAATTGAGTCTCTGTGCTTGGGCTTTGACTTAAGCTTATTGCTTAAGTTAAGGATGTGGGAGCCAAATCTGTGCTAGTAGTTGGTAGTGATAGGAAGATGGATCAGGTGCACCTCCAGAACGTGAGCTATGATGATCATCACAGATGACTATTTCAAAATACTCCCCTGCCAATTCCTTATCTGGTTAGAGGTGTCACTCATGTTTGTTTATAAGAAACACAGAACAGAATTCCTGGCTATCTTCCTAATAAATATTGGGAAATGGGAAAGGGGCTAGCCAGAGAAACTACCAGCACGAGTACTACATGAACTGCTGTAAAAGGTGGAGAGAGCAAAGAGGAAGATAAGGAGAGGTGTACTGGCAGGTTTTATTTTTACAGCTCTGCCTTTATTCAGTGCTTCTAGCATTCTTAATAAAACTCCTTCTCCATTGGGTTGTTCTGTTTTGTTGGATGTTTTTGTTGCTGTTTGTTGTTGTTTTGGAGCTGTGCAGTTTGCCTGTTGGTACTTCAACTGGTTAGCAATTCGCTCTGAGAGAAAGGAAAACATTTATCTGTCGTGGCTGAAAAACGTACTGTGCTGTTCTCATTTTCCTGGATTTGCTGTTACTCACCAGAACTGAACTTCCTTTTTTACCAGAGTCCTCGCAGTGGCCTGAAGGAGCGGGTTTATCTGGATGAGAGCCCAGAGAAGACTGAGGTTCAAGATACTGTGAGTCCAAAGCATAAAGAATCACAACAGCGTCGCCTGTGATAGTCCCATTTGGCTTGGTTTTTTCCTTTCTTTTTAGATGAAGCACCCATAAACTTTGCATTAGAAAATGAAACGCGATTAAAGTTGTGCAGGGAATGTTAATTAGCTGAATAAATGTTTATGGAGCTTAAGAGCGGGCCCATTTAGAGACAAGAAATAGATAATCAGCAGTAAAACAGCTGGACCTAAAAGGGCTAAAGCTGTTGTGCATGTTTTATTCCCTGAATTCAACACTAAATGAAGAGCAGTGTTTTTTCTTTAGATCATTATGGCCTTCAGAGCAGATAGAAATGGAACGTGGTTGGAAGCGCTGTTGTTTTCCTTAGGATGACTTCTGAAGTATTTTTCCCTCATCTTACATGATTTTCTAAAGTCATATTTCTCCATTTATACTAAGCTGACATTTGTCATATGCTGCATGCTTAGTGTGCTCAGAAATTTGTAGATGATGCAATTGGTTTTGAGTCATCTGCTTTGACATTTCTGAATGCTTCCAATTTGGGAGAACTATGCTGAAAGGAATCTTGCAACCCTAAGCTTGTACGAGGTTGAATGAAGGCACTTGGGTTTCCATTGAAATTTGAGGAGGATTAAACTGATAGCAGTATCTTTGACTGGGTGAAGAAAGATTACTGTTCCAAGGGAGTAACTGCAGTGCACTTCTCTTCCTTCCCTTCTCCCACTCCTGACTCACCCCAGGATTCTCAGTCCAGCATTGGAAGTCCTTCATCCCGTGTGGGACCACAGATCATTGGAGCAGAGGATGATGACTTTGACACTGAGCAGGAGCAGGTGGGAATGACTTGCAGCCTCAGCCATTCTTCTTCCCACGTTGACTAGTCTTTCTGTGCTTTAATTGCAAGTGTTCCATGACTTAGTTTTATTGAACTGTTCTCGTGTTCAATTAAGAATTAGGGCATGTGATTCCTCTTACCACTGATTGTGCCAAATGGTAACACCTGGGGATTTTTGTCTTTATTTCTGTTACTCTTCTTGAATTTCAAGAAGGCTTGAAGTTTTATTTGCTTTATTTAGTTTCCTTTTGCTTATTAAGTTTCTTCTAACTGTTCTGCGCTGTGGTCACAGCAGTGTAGCTCACATGGCTTTTGACATATTCATTCTGAGGTACTTTAGCTCTCCTGTGTTCTGAGTTGTATTTCATTACATTATATTCAGTGTTGAGAGATGTGTTTAAAAGGTGTGTTGTCATTGTAAGCCCTTCCTGGGATACTGCAATGATACTGTGGAGGTTCTGGAATTGATCAGTTTTCATTTCAATTCAACAAATGAAGTGCTAAGCTGTTGGAAGAAGCTTCTTGTTTTTGTTTTGCACAGTAGCTTTCTTGAATAATTCAAACAGTTTCCATGTATCCCCACAGATAAATGGACAATGCAGTTGTTTCCAAAACATTGAGCTCCTGAAGTCTCGCCCAGCTCACCTGGCTGTTCTTCTGCACCATGTGGTGTCCCAGTTTGACCCTGCAGCATTGGTAGGATGTTCTAGAATTGTTTCCCTGGCCAAAATTTGTAGTGTGTGTCAGGATCTCCTTATTCTTGTGTAGCATTACCAACAACATAGCTGGATTGGAAAGGAGAGAAATACAGATCTTCAGCAGGCATGAGCTTATGTCAGATAAAGGAAGAGAAGAATGAAGAGAACTGTCTCTAGAGCATTCAGCTATTTACAAACAAATATTTAGCTCTGAAAGCATTTAATTTCAGCCTAAGGTAGTGGGAATGGTCTCTGTCCCTTAGTTCTGAGTTGTGTAGCCTGATCCCTGTGTTTTTCCTTCTCCTGCACTGATTCTGGGGCAGCATAGCTGACCAGCTGAGGCTACCTGTGGTCGGCTGAAGATAGCTAGGAGGGCTTGCAAATCAACAGTGCTGAATTCTTTGCGTGACAGTGAAGAAAGGTTTGAGTTAGGGGTGTTAGAAGAGTTGTTGTAGTATCTCTAAATTACTTCTCCTCCTGTTTCCCACAGTTGTGCTACCTTTACTCAGACTTGTACAAGCAGACCAATGCGAAGGAGACTCGGCGTGTCTTCCTGGAGTTTTACCAGTTCTTCTTGGACAGAGCTGCAGTAGGTTCCAGACCTTTCCTTTGTTTTCAGGCATATTTAGAAAGTTGACTTTTACCTTTCTTTGCTCTCTGAAGTGGAAAAAACTAAGGAGTTAGTCAAGCCTTCAAGAATCAAAAGGATTTTACTGTGTTGTTTAAAATATTACCATTGAATAAAGTAAAATAAATGCCAAATAGCCCCAGCTGCCTGGTAGTTGTATAAATCACAGGAAATGCATTATCTGGTAGGAAAAATAATTTGGTTACGTGCAATCTAGCTTCAATTGTCATACACTGCATTTTAGTTAATATCTGCTGTGTGTATTGATGTGTCTGTTGTCAAGGTCAGGCAATTTCATGTGCCTGAGAAACCTCTTTACCATCTCATCTCAGACTACCATGTTGTGTTGCAGAGGCTATGATCACCTGCTTAGATGAGGTCATCCTTGTGTATTACATTTTATATATGTGTGTGTGTGTCTGTGTGTATCATAGGGGGGAGGTTTCCATCCTGAATATGTTCAGCTGTTCAGGTTATATGATTTGGGGTTTGAAGGGCATTGTATTATGCACTTTGTATTGTGCATTTTATTGGGGTGCTGCTTGTTAGATGTATTCCTCCAATGTTCCTTTTCTTTTGCAGAATCTTAAAGTTCCAATACCAGATGAAATCTCTGTAGATCTAGGTAAGGCACTCCTGCCTTGGAATTCTGCTTTTCAGCTCCTGCTGTTTGAGGCAGTCCCAGCAAATAACCGTGGGGTTGCTTCAGATGTACAGTACTGTGTGTTTACAGGGAGAGACAGAACAAATTCTTGTTTTGGACGTGGTGCATGCTCTGATAGATGCATTGGTAGTGGGAAGAAGTGGCCATGTTGGCAAGTGTATCTTTTGGTCTAATGCTGGATGTGACCAAAGCTATTTATGCTTAATGCACTGAAATTCATATTATCAATAAGTGGAAGGCAAAAGGGAATTCTTGGATGGTTTAAGTTGTGTATGAATGACTTTATTCTAAGGTAGTGTGAACTATTTCTCTTCTGGAAAGAATAATCTGTTAACTTTCTCTTCTGACTTACAGAGAAAAGAAGGCCAGAACTCATTCCTGAAGAGCTTCATCGCCACTATATACAAACTATGCAAGATAAAGTCTGTCCAGAAGTTCAGAGGAATCTGGAAGATTTCAGGTAACAGCAGTTGCCTGTACAGTTTTTGTTTAATTCATGCCTGATAAGAAGGAATTCCAAACTCAAGGAACATTTGTCTTGGACTGAATAGGAAGATAGCACTGGAGAGAAGGCTCACTCTGACCAACCTCTGAGTGTCTTTTGACACCGTGCTGCATGTAGTCAGTTGCAAGATCAGTATCAAAGACTGGATTCTTTATTCTAAAAGTTATTGGAGCCACTTTTAGAATATTGTTGCTTAATGGTGTTACATAAATCTTTCTTAGAATTGTAGAATCATTTGAGTTGGAAGAGACCTTTAAAGGTCATCGAGTCCAATCCCTCTGCATTGAACAGAGACACTGTATTTTTAATCAATGTATATCATTTTTTATTTTTACTCCCCTTTAGACAAGAAATAATCCACTTTAGAGAACTGTCATCTACAAATCATGTAATTTGGTAACTGATAAGTCCTTTTATGTGCAGTCATGAGCATTCTGTGCTAGTGTGAGAGACCATCTCAAGATAATCTGTTCAGTAATTGTCGTCTTCATAGCTGAAAGTATTCAAGTCTATGCTTCAAGTATATAACCTTGGATGCTGCAAAAAGAATGCCCACTTCTGGTCATTGCCATAGCTACTTCTCTTGATAAATGCTGTAAAATGTTACCCCTGTGAAGGCCATCTTAGCTCTGTTTTACAGTGATTGCAAATGCTGTAGAGAAATGCCGAAAACCAATAAGGCAACCTTTTTGGCCTTCTGAATGTCAGGAGGTTGCTTTCTCTTGTTACAGGTCAGTATTTATTTTGAAGTGATTCTTTCTTCTCTCTGTATTTCAGGCAGAAACGTAGCATGGGGTTGACCCTGGCAGAGGGAGAGTTGACCAAGTTGGATGCAGAAAGGGTTCGTGACCGGAACGCGGTGGAGAAGGAAAGAGCATGTGCAGAACAGATTATTGCCAAGATTGAGGAAGTCCTGTGAGTATTGGCAAGTGTAATTGAGTGAGGTGAAGATGGTTTCATCCTGAACCTGACAAGTGCAGAGCAAAAGAGTTAGGAGCTACCACAGAAGTGATTTGTTAACCAGTACTTTCGCATTACTTCCCTGTTTTGCTGCTAATGTCTCTGAGTAATTATAGCTAAAAGTAAGGCAGTAGTTATTTAAAGTCCTTATATCTTTTCAAGGAGGCTACTGCTCAAATAGGAGTGGCACTGCTTCCATTGTTGTCCTGTGTATTGTTTGATCTGAGTTCTTCACTTGGGCTGTAGAAGCAGGTAGTTTCAGAACCTCGTTTGTCTTTCATTTTGATATGAACCCAATTTTCCCAACTGACCCTTCATTTTTGTTTAACTTTTCTTTTTTTCTGGGGCTTTTTTATATTGGAAAGGACACTTTGAACATAAGAGCTGACACTCTGGGTAGATGTGACTGGGTATTAATTGCTAATTGAGTTTCTTTTTTTACATTCTCATTTACTTTTACATTTTTACATAGGATGACATCTCAGCCTTTGGAGGAAGACAAGAGGTAATAAAAGTTGTGTGGTCCTAGAAATGAGAACTCGGTTGCTGATGCTGGTTCTGCTGACCCTGTCTTCTGCTGAGCAAAACAAGACAGCCCTCTGCTGGCTGTAACTCCAGACTCTCCCTTTCTGAATCTGCTGGCATAATGATCTCCGATTTGGAGCATCAGCCCCTTGTTTTCAAACTCTCCTGGTTCTGAAGTTCATTGTCTTTGACTCCTACCAGAAAAAGTTGCCGAGAGTTCATCTGTGTCTTTTGGTTTTGTTCTGTGGTTGTTTTAATCCAGTCTGACGTTCATTATCTGTGCATGCTGTGCCCCATTTGGTTTATCTGACACCCTGCAACCAGCCTGTTAGCTTTTACTGTTCTTACAGCAACCAGACCTCTTACTGTACTGATTTTCAGTGTAACTCTAAACCATGATCTGTCTTCAGATATGTGCCTAATCTATGAGTTTACACCTGTGTAATTGGTAACATTTTAACTTTACCTCTCAGGCTGGTACACCTTTTATAAACTGCATCTTCTGTTTATGAGAAATTAGATTCTAATATTAGTTGATTGTTTGAATGTTTAGTTGATAACAAAATGGATTTTTCCCAGTACATTTCTCCTTAACCTCCATCCTTGTATTTATTTGACAGCTCCACCATACAATATGTGATTCTTACTTACATGAAGCACCTGGGAGTCAAAGCTAAAGAGGCTCGGAACCTGGAGCAGAAGCGTGGCCGTATTGGTTTCTTGCCAAAGATCAAGGTAGTAGTGCTGTAGCCAGTGTGCATTTGTGTAAAGCTGCCCAGCATGGATGCTTCATTAGAACTCAAAACATACTTTTGTATGATACCACGAAGTTGGTGTGATTTTACTGCATTGTGTCAAGAGCATCTAGGATTATCAAGCTGCACAGAAAGCATAACAGCTGTGATTGGGTTATACAGAATCACAGAATGGCCAGGGTTGGAAGGGACCTCAAGGATCACGAATCTGCAACCCCCTGCCACAGGCAGGGCCACCAACCTCCCCATTTAATACCAGCCCAGGCTGCCCAGGGCCCCATCCAACCTGGCCTTGAACACCTCCAGGGATGGACGGGGCATCACAGCCTCTCTGGGCAGCTGTTCCAGCACCCCACTGTTCTTACAGCAAAGAACTTCCCCTGACATCCAACCTAAATCTTCCCTCCCTCAACTTAAATCCATTTCCCCTTGTCCTGCCATTATCTACCCTTGATACATATGTTACATATGTTTTCAGATACATGCATTCGGGCAATTGATCAGTATAGTTCAATTTTTGCCTTAAGAAACTTGCCTAAGAATGAGTTCTCTCACCCAAACTCCATCTCTGCTGTCATCTCTCACAGTATGGGGATGTGTCTGGTCTCAGTAACTGTATATTTTCATCAGCATTCCACCTTCCTTTGAAATGTTAGGGCTGTCATAAGCAGTTCTGCACTGACAGTGTGAAAAGGTTAGATGGAGCATTAGCAGCCCTTCTGAAGCGGTATGCTAAGTTGTATTTCTCCTTCCCAGATTAGAATCTGTATGGTTGTGGAGCTTTGGAGTCACGAGGTGTTGTTCCTTAGAGAAACAAGGCGCTGCTGGTCGCTGTGGCTGTGTCTCTTACCCCAGGAAGGAGAGTGTTTTTTAGCTCCTTAGCTGCTAAGTTAAAACCAGGGTGTGAGTTTTTGCTTTTAACAGATGCATCTTGAGGATGCTGTGACTCCCTGCTGCTATAACCCTGTTACACACTATTCATAAGCTGCTCCTGCTCTCTGTGGCTGTTAGCTGCAGGATGCTGAACCCTGAAGAGGTTGATACAAATGAACTTGTACCAAACTGCTGCTGCTATCTGAAATAATTAGTCATTAATTCAGTAAACAACTGAATGTGAAAAAATGAGTTACCTGTTTGCTTTGCTCTTCTGTCCTCTGTATTATTGCAGCAAAGCATCAAGAAAGAGAAAGAAGGAGATGAAAAAGGAAAGAGGAGAGGCTTTCCTAATCTCTTGGGTCCACCGAGGAGACCGAGCCGACATGACAGCAGTGCAAGTATGTCAGACAAGGAAATGTGTGCACCCCAAGTATGAGCTTGAAAACCGATCAGACTCTGTCTTTAAAAAGAAAACAAAATATGCACACACACACAAAAAAGCACTAAAAAGACTCAGCAGAATTTTCTTCTTTAAATTTTGTCTTTAAAAACGCATTTTATGTAGGTATCCTGAAATAATTCTGATTCCGATTCTGTTGGGAGCAGGTAAAAGCTCTTTCAGCCGTGTAACAACTCTGTGTTTGTTTAGTTGGCAGAGCCATGGAGATACAGAAGCAGCGCCACCAAAAGCACATCCCTGCAGTGCCTTCTGTTAGCCCAGAGCCTCCAGATTCGGGCAAGGTGCGCCAGAGTGGGTCCTCCAGCGATGGCACAGATGCACCATACCCACCTGCCAACCCCATGTCTCCGTTGGCAGTGGGTCCTTTCTCATCTCCAGAGGGAAACAAGGACAGTGAATCAGGTTAGGATGATACTGTTGCAGAGGGACTCTGTTATAAGTTGTATTTGGAGTGGAATACGGAAAGGATGCCTCTAATGCAGGGGACCTGAGCAATGAAGATGTGTTTATGTCACATAATCTTCCTGAGTGCTCGGTCATCTTTTCAGACTTGATCCTTGATCAAGTCAGGAGATCTTACCGTGGCCAAAAATTACTGTCTGGTGGCTTTTGTCATGGTGTTGTTGGATCATCCAGTGGTAAAAAGACAGCCTGAGGTGCCTGCTGCACAAATCAGTGTTGCCTGGAAACATATCTAATTGAGATTATTCTTACCAAGCTTACAAATTCATTTCTAGCTCTGAGTTGGAATGAGGCTGTGAATGAAGAGGCTGTGAAGAGGTTGTGAAGATATACTCTAATGTACTCCAGTTTGATAGGATTTTTGACGTTTCTTGTTCATTCCCTCTCAGGCTCGAAGCAGACAGGAGAAGCCCCACCTGCTAATGAGTGTGTGGATGGCACACCCCGCACACCCAACACTACTTTTGAATTCCCATCTCCCTTGGAAAACTTGCCAGAGGAGGAGGGAGAGTCAGAGAGGTAACCGTGGTGCCCCAGGATGTGGCAGTGGCTGTAGCACAGCTGTGAGCAATGGTTCCCTCATACTTCCTTTCTTTCTTTGCAGAGTGGTCGACATGGGGACACCAAAGCCTTTTCGCAAGTAAGTGTGCTTGAAACTGTTTCAACTTAATTGATTTGAGTGACATTTTCATTGGTTATGAAGCAGAATGCAGCAGTGTTCGTTGTTCTGAGCCAGTACAATTGCTTGTGTGATCTTTTCCTGTTCTTAAGTAACATATGGATGAAATGGAACACCTGTGCATAGGACAGGTGGAGCAGATCGTATGCAGATAAACCCTTTGATCAATGAGTGAAAGACAGTAAGTGCTACATCTGCTGATTGGAATTGATGGGTGATGGAATTGAGATGCTCGGGTTTTCTTTTTAAATGTTAGCTGTGTATCTGCAAAGCAATAGTGACTTGTCCTTTCTCTGACTTGCTATTTGACCCTAAGCAAATTATTTTTCTCTAACACTGGGAGGAGATTTATAAATACACTGCAGGAACAGATATTCACTCCTAGTTGTTCTGCAAAGGGCAAACTTGCAAAACATTCTCGTAGTTTCAGACATGGAACAGCTTATTTGTGTAATGCTTTACAACTGCTGTGTGTGCCTCGATTTTTCTCTTCTTTCTTCCTTGTATCCATGCCTGAAATGGGAGTGATGTGGCATATTTTTCCCATTAGGATGGACAGCGTTGGTTTTGCAGATGTGCAAAGTGAGGATGAGCTGTATGACTTTGACATGGACACAGACCCTCCCAACTGGCAGCAGCTTGTGAGCCGAGAAGTGTTGATGGGGCTGAAACCCTATGAGATCAAGAGGCAAGAAGTGATTAATGGTAAGATGGATATTTTTTTCCTATCCTACCAAACAGAAAGCTGAAATCTTGTCCTGCAGAGCTTTAGAGCTGTTAAAATCTAAAACAAGGTCTTTTGTCGCCAATCTGTCCGGTGTGGTGCCATGTGTTGCTTTGGGCTTGAGGAGTTCATGTTTGTGAAACTCATATTTGCTACTGAGAAGTGTTCAGGGATGAGACTGATCCTGTCCTTAGGGGAGAAATAATTAATATTTCAGTGTTTTGACACTGAAGAACCAGTTTGCAGTATCATGTTCTGTAAAGGAAAGTGAGAGGCGCTGTCTAGGCAGCTGGAAAACACCCACAGTGCAGCCATTGTCAAACTTCATCTTCAAAACTTCATTTTAATTTCAGGTGTTGCAATCCTGCAGAGCAATCTGAGCAGCCAATACCAGCCCCTAGGAGCTCACTGTTTGTGTAGGGTAAACTGAGTCATGAATCAACTGACTTCTCTGTTTCTTGAAACATGGAAGCATAGTAGAGTGTGGCACCTTTGTGGAGCAGCCTGGAATATGGAATGTAGATGAGGGAGATGTTTGCAAGTTCATACTTCCGACTTGTATTTGGTTCACGTTTGAGTCCGCGTTGTCACATCTTGAAGTCAGCAGTTACAGTCCTGCCTTCTTCTCTCTCTGCAGAGCTGTTTTACACTGAGAGAGCTCATGTCCGCACCCTGAAGGTTCTGCATAACGTTTTCTACCAGCGTGTCACCCGGGAAGGGATCCTCAACTCCAGTGACAAAAAGAAGATCTTTTCAAACCTGGAGGATATCCTGGGGCTTCATGGTAAGAGTGGCTGAGGTGCTTCTTGGCTTCGCAGTCTGAGCTGGAATTCAGGCTTCAAATACCTGAGAAAAATTGATGCAGGTACCTTGAACCAAGAGGCAGCCTCACACAGCACTTCTCCCCTCCACACACAGTTTTCTCCTTTCTGATTTGCAAAGATGTTCTGATGAAGATCACATGTGCTCAGTAGTTCAGATGCTTGCTTTTTTTATCAGCGTATACAGACTCTTGTGCTCATTCAAGTTTGATGAAAACAGCAGTGCTTTGAATGAATACTCTTTGTAGGGTAATGCTCAGAAAGTTACAGCTGTCGATGAGGAAAACATGAAAAAGCCATGGGAGGATTGATGTCTTGCAGGTGGCTTTGAAGGGTCACCCTTCCTAATTGTTTGGAGGAAGGACTGCTCAGAATCACAGTTTCTGCTCTGTCACTGAATAATCAGTTGTAAAGGCAGTTGTTTAGGCAGGTGGCTTGAAGTGTGTTCTGCATGAGCCCTGGGTTTTTAAAAGGTCAGTGATACTGAGCCTCAGAAAAGACAAGACTGGAAAGGTTCTTGGAGGTCATTGAAACACAGGAGAGATAGAAGTGCGAAGGAGGGATGTAACATTTTTTAGGTACTGCTGAATTCATTACATTGCAGGACACCTTTTCAATGTTTGGTGCTTTCTTAGAAGAAGTTTTATTTTAAAAGAAATGGAAAGTAAGGAAAATTAAGCATGCAAATGGTATTAATAAAATTTTCTTTTTTCTTTTTTTCTAAGTGGCATTGAATGATCAGATGAAAGCGGTCCGGAAAAGGAATGAGACTTCTGTTATTGACCAAATTGGGGAGGATTTGCTTTCTTGGGTAAATTCCATTTTTATTCTCGAAAATGTGTTTCAGAAAGTGACCTATGGTGTCAGAGGCTAATGAAGGTAATTCCCAGCTAATGGGAATTGAAGGTCTGAGAGCAGTTATTTGTGTGGAGCCAACAAAGAGCTAGGGAAAGAGGTTTAGAGAAAAGCAGAAACAATCAAAGGATTTTCATTTGACAGGAGGTAGGAGAAAAGAAGAAGAAAACATTTCTTTCAGTGCATTGGTAAAATAGAAACATAGTTTTGGAGACGTAAAATGAGAGCAGGATTTTGAGAAATGTAGTAGCACAATTTACTGCAGTAATATTGAAATAAGCCTTACGTCACCTTTGGTGCAGTTAAAGATATTTTAAAATCATGATTTCCAGTCGTAGAGTTTGCATAGCTGAGCCTCTTCAAATCTGTAGAGCTGTTGCAGGCTTTGCTTCAAAGATGAGATCCAAACGATGGGAGCAGGAGTGAGAATCTCTTTGGTTTTTTCAGTCTCTCCTGGGAGTCTCCTGTTTTGTTGTTTGTTTTCAAGCCTACTTAATATGGGATTGAAGATTGATCTGCTTATTCTTTTCAGATGTTCATGCAGAAGTCTCTTGTGATTTATATTTTTGTAATCCTGCCGTTTGTCTCATATCCCAGAAAAAAGGGGAGGAAAATGAAAATCAGATGTGGCTGGTAGTGAAAAACCTCTTTTAGTTCTCCCCTGTGTGTTGTGAAAAGCAAAAAAATAGCTTGTGCATTCGTTTTTGAACAAGTTAAAGCAAGCTAGACCTTACAAGTGTGATCGTTCCATGGCTGGTGTCTGGTTAAGTGGCTAAAACACAAAAATCAAACTAGAATCTCATTCTCCAGAGTATTTTCAGGAGTTGCTTTTGCTGCATCACAAGTTGGGCAGTAGGAATGGGAAGGATGGCAATGATAGTCTATCTGTCTGTCATCTGCAGCACATTTCTCAGCTCTGCTCGTGGCTGTCGTTTTCCCTAGCCATATTTCTGTTCTCTTCTTGTCTTTAAGCATGGCTAATCCTGAAGAAACAGGACCTTTGGTCTTGGCTTTGCTGACCAGAGTCTGGTAAATAGTCACTGGTCATTCATCCGAATGCTGTTTTTGCACTTCTCTTGCAGCTAACAGTGGGGGACTGTATTCTCTCCCTGAATCTGCATTTGTGGAGAGAACTGGAAATGCTGGGAGTGGTGACAGGAGAGATGTTGGGTTTACACATAGCAGGGCTTCTAAATAGGCTGGACAAACAAAGGCTTAAAAACAGAATGTTTAAAATGATGTATTCCGTGGAAGTAACTTCTCAGATACAGAACACAAGTGAATGGCAGAAAGCTGTGCCAGGGGAGGTTCAGGCTGGGCGTTAGACTTCCTAGCAAGGTGGTTGATGTCTCCAGGCTGTCTGCATTAAAGGGCCATTTGGATAATGCCATCAGTAACGTGCTTTGATGATTGTTGTAGGTCCCCCCTCTTCCTCCCATCTTCCCCCCTTCTTTTGCTACTATTCCTCCCTTCCCTTCTGAGAGCAGTGGTGCTACATGGCTTGATGTCTGTTGACAGCAGCTCGTGCTGAAGTTGGGTCTGTCTAATTTTTGGCTTTCGTGACTTTCTGGCACAGTTCAGTGGAGCAGCAGAGGAGAAGCTGAAACATGCCACTGCCACGTTCTGCAGTAACCAGCCCTTTGCTCTAGAGGTCATAAAGTCCCGCCAGAAGAAAGACTCTCGTTTCCAGACTTTCGTGCAGGTGAATTTTATGCAAGGGTTTGAGCTGCTGGTGTGGGATAGTGAAGGGCTTTAGATTAAGTCGTTACAGTTAATGAGATTGCACTTCACATTGTCTTCAGATTGCCATACACAATGTCTTGCTGGAATGAAGGAAAGCACATGCTGCCCCAGGCAGCATCGCATCTCACTTGGGTGGCTGTTTCCCAAGGATGAGTACTTCTGTGAGGAAAAACTGCTTATAGCAGTGCAATTATGAGACATGCCAAAGTCAGAAGACAGATACTGTAAACCTATTCTGCCCACCAGGAAAGGGGCTTGAATACTTCTGGCATTTGGAGGGGAGAACATTATCTTCATTACCACCAGCTGGGAAGAACTGCAGTAATACAAAGGTTGACGTTGTTTTGAAAAATGTACTGTAGTTTTGCTATAGCATGAAGAGCTAAACTGATATCTTCCCTGTGTGGCAGTGACTGAGATTGATTGGAGGTGCTGCCAGGCCTCTGTGCAGTGATGAGGGAAGGAAGCCACTGCTTTGTGAGCCCTTCCTGTACGTAATTGCAAATCGAGAAGGGATGTATTGTCTGAATGATAGATCTTGGCATTTCTTGTCTTGTATTTAATTACCAGAAGGTGAAGTAATAGACGTTTACGTGATGAATAGATGTTACACATTCAGGTAATTATACTCTTAATAAAAATGACAAACGTACTTATTGTGCTGTTTAATTTTAGGATGCTGAGAGTAATCCCCTGTGTCGCCGCCTGCAGCTGAAGGATATCATTCCAACAGAGATGCAGAGACTGACAAAGTACCCCCTTCTGCTGGATAACATTGCAAAGTACACAGGTAAAGCATTTCCACCAGGTAGCCAGTGGTTGGTGCTTGTGTCTCAGCAGGTTTGCTAAGCAAATGTGATTTCATTGCATGGACTGAAGTACAGTTGAATTTTACAGGTCACCGCTGTGATGTCATTGCTGCCTTCCTCACGGGAGGACAGGTTAAATAAATTCTTTCAAAATATGTAGAATTAAAAAATCCAGTCTTTTTTCTCGATTGAACTCACGTTTCTTCTCCTGAAAAACAGAACAGAATCATTAAAGTTGGAAAAGACCTCTAAGATCATCCAATCCAACCATTAACCCCTCCCCACCATGCCCACTAACCGTGTCCCTCAGTGCCACATCTCCATGTTTCTTGAACACCTCCAAAGATGATGATTCCACCATTTCCCAGAGCTGCCTCTTCTACCACTCTTCCCAACAGTCCATTTTTTGTGAATATCCAACCTGGTACAACCCAGTAAAAGCCATCTGCATGCTGATAACCTCCCAGCAGGGCCAGCTAAAATAAGAAGGGCAGGGGGATTTAGTTTGGGATAGGTGAATGGCAGTCTGTGTTGGGTTATACATGTAATCATTTAAACGTGGTCTTGACAAGTTCGAGGGGTGGAAGCTGAAGTTTTGAAGATAAAACCACTCTGCTCATGAAATTACTGACAAAAGCACTTTGATTTGCTGATGGTTTCTGAAAAAGAGAACTGGAATTCCTGACAGTCTTCTTCCCTTCCTCCAGTTCTTGGGCTGCTGCTTAATTTTACGCTGTTATCATTATTACCTGTTTTCAGTCATTGTGACAACCAAACTGAAGGAAATGTTTCCTCTGTGCCCTCACAGTCCTGATGCTGTGTGAGTACACAGCAGTGCAGTAGCTGGAATTACATTCAGGAGACAAACAGGAAAAAGAGCGAGCATCATTTAACTCCTCCTTATTCATGTTCTGATAAACTGAAACTTGAGCTGACAGAGAGGCAGCTTGCCTCTGTGCTGCTGTTTTTGAGCAGTCATTAGCATGCTTGTTCTTTCTGTAATTTTGTAGGCATGTTTAACACCTTTCTACAGTTTTGGAGGAAATAACTGGAAAGAATTCAATCACTGAAGATGATACTTCATTTGTTTCAGTAAATTGATTTTCAGTAATAAATATGCTCTGAAAAACATATTTTTACTTTCTTCTTTAGCACACCAAGATAGCTAATCAGGCTATTAAGAGAAAGCACATTTAAATGAATTCCAATTTCCATGTAGATGCACTTGAGAGAGAGAAAAAGAATAAGATCTTCCAATAACAGAAATCCCTGGTCGTCCATTGCCAGCATAAAAATATGGAGAACGAAGAATCTCATAAAAACTCATCAAGTTATGCAGTTACTTAAACGAGCATGGATGGATGTAGGACAGTTCTGAGCAAGGAAGAAAAGAAAGTATCACAAAGTCTAAGCAAAAATCATGCAGTGCTGAGGCTGATGCAAATCGACATGTTTCTGAAGAAGGGAACAAAGAGCAGATAATGCAGAACAAATTGATTGTTTTCTTTTAAGGTCAGGATTTCCATGTTATCGACCAAAGGGTTGTGCTGTTCTGATCAGTTCTCCATAGAATTTGTTCAGAATTCCCAGTAGGTGAGGGAAGAAAGAGTGCTTAGATTTCCATCTCACCTACGCCCCGAAAGTCTGATATAAAATCAACTTCATATAAAAAACTGGAAGGCCATTCGTATGATATTAATAAGAACTTGAAGAAGCAGTTTGAACTTGGGAAAAAAGCATCGTCCCACATGATAGAGGCCAACAGAGTCCTGGTGCAGCTCTCATCAGCTGTCACATCTGTACAGCACTGCAGAACATTACCTGTTCTTGCAGAGGTTTGAGTTCAGCTGCTGTGTGCCACACTGAAAGTCATTTCCAGTGTAACAGACAAAGAGGACTCATAAGACCATGAAATGCCTTTTCAAGTTTACTAGCAGATAACTGTTGCAGTGTAATTTCATTACTTGCAAAAAATATACTGTATTTACAAGTCACTCTAATCATAATTAAGAAAGCGTGTGACACTCCATTACCCCTGATGAACTTGTTTATTTGCCAGTTAACTACATGCATAATGTGGCTTGTGCTGGTGAGAATTGATGGGGCTCACCTGTGTCTGTCTGTATGATCTAGAGACTGGCTGGAAAGGGAACTGCTGCATGCTGTTGCTGTAGCAGGAGGATGTTTTTGGAACCTGTTTGCGGTCAGCAAGCAGCACGACATTTGTGCCCTCTTCATCCTTTATCAGAGAGAGTGATTGCATTTCCCTGTTCTCTTGCAGAACTGCCTGAAGAGAAGGAGAAAGTGAAGAAAGCAGCAGATCACTGCCGTCAGATCCTTAACCACGTGAACCAGGCTGTTAAGGAATCAGAGAACAAGCAGGTGGGAGCCGAGCTGGGTTAACACCAATGGTCAGGGTGAGGAGAGGGAGGTGAAGGGAAGCAAGCTGTGCAACATGGCTGGAATCTGTGCACAAGTGACCGTGTATTGTGCTTAAAGGTGCTCTGTGGCACGAGTACTGCTGTGAGAACAGGAATCCCAGGCATGTGGGAACTTGTGACTGCCTGCTCTCTGACTCTAATTAGAGTTCTGATAATCAAAGTCACCATTTTCAATGGTTTGTTGTGGGTTGTTGTTTTTTTTTTGCAGCATCTGGAAGATTATCAGCGTCGTCTCGACCTGTCCTACTTAAAGCAGTCTGAGGATCCCATGATGGATGAGTTCAGGGTAAGTGGCAGCACTGAAGCAATTGCTCTGTGCGTCCTGATTGCAGCACCGTTGCTCTGTTTGTGGCTCTTCCTATTCCATCTTCAGATGTGCAATCTTGGAGATAAACCTTTAGTTTTGCTGACTTCCTGAAGATCTCCGTGGATGTAACAACGTGGTTCTGCACATAGGAGTGCTGGTGGAGCTTGTAAGCTTAGTGAGATACCAGGAGGATGATGATGATTTGATACTTTGACTGCTATTTGTGCCAGTCTCACTTAGAGATTCTGTGTTGTTTATTTATCACTCCTTTATATTCTCCAAAGTCGGTGTGTATTCAAAGAAATCTTTATGTGATGACTTGCCTATAAAACTATATCCTGTAATCTTCCACAAATAAACCCACAAGCATTTAGTTAGGAAATGAAGAACTTACTGGCAGTTATGAAAGCTTGCTGTTATTGATTGTAGACTGAGACTTGGAAGGAATGACTTGTGAAAATTGTCACTTCTACTTGCCTGCAGATCTAAATGTCACAAGCACTGAAATGACTGAAGAATCCATTGACATTATAAAGTCCATCAGATCATTGGAATGCTTTTTATATCAGTATGTCATTCGTGGGCATACTTGACTTGCAAATAGAGTGCTGAAGCATTAACCAGTTGTAATACTGGGACTGCAGACTTTGTATGGGCTATTGTGAAAGCTCCTAGAAATCAGATGACATTCTGATGCCTTAAGAACTTTACTTAGAAGGAAAATTCTCCATGTGTTCACCTGAAACATCGTCAAAAGATCAAAGAATGAGGAAGAGTGATGAAAGACACCTCTCACAAGACTTTTGATGTACAGCATGCCTTGTTCTCGCTCCATGGTTCTTTTTCCACACTGGGTTTAGCTGCTCAAATTGGAGCACCCATGGGTTACCTTCCCTCTGACACTTCTATGCTTTACCACTGCTTGCTTTCCTAGACGTTTCATAGTGCTGCTTCTTTTTTTTCTTCCTCCTGCTGACAGAACTTGGATCTCACAAAGAGAAAAATGCTTCACGAAGGACCTTTGACTTGGAAGGTTAATCGTGACAAAACTATCGGTGAGTCTTCCTTGTCAGCTGATGTGGGGTTGAGTTTGTGTGTGCTTGCTGATAGAGGGAGGGAGAGAGAAAGCATTTCTGCAGTTTCCAATTATGATTCGTACTGCCGCCTATAATGATGTGTATGTGTTTCTCAAAGCTGATTAAATCATTCTTGTCAATTCTGAAATGTGCTGGAGTATCATTAAGGCCATGCAGGGACACAGCAGTCAGTCGTGAGATGATCCAATCCCATCTGTAGCTCTCTGCTGTAGTTTTGATGAGGAAGATTTGCAAGCTTTGCCTAGAATGGCATAGCACTGATTAGTGCCTCTGCATGAGTAATCAAAAATGCAGCCTTTTTCTTTCTGCTGGGGTGTGATAGAAAACCATGAATCTTTAACTCGTTCTGGGTTCCTTTGCGCCCTGTGCAGATCTCTACACTCTGCTCTTGGAGGACATTCTGGTGCTGTTGCAGAAACAAGATGATAAGCTGGTCTTGAAGTGTCACAGTAAAATCTTGGCGTCGACGGCTGATAGCAAACACACCTTCAGTCCTATCATCAAACTGAACACTGTTCTGGTTCGTCAGGTGGCAACAGGTCAGTGTAACAAGCAAAGGAGGACAACAAAAATGGGGATTAGATCAGTTGAGGAGAGGGTTTTTTTTGTCTAGAGTTCCAGAGTTGAACGTGGAATAATGCGTGGGCTTAATTCTTGGTTGTCCAACATCTTGTTCAGTAGCACTGCGTGAGCTGTTTAACTTCTCTGCATTGGTAATAACCTCTTTAGGCATGGCTTGAGTTATAAATAGGCTTCTTTGTTCAAGTAGTCTGGTTTTATTAGATGAAAGGTTCCCTAGAAATGAAAATCACTATGAGGGAAAAGAGAAGTGGTGCGTTTCAAAGTAGCTTGGGCAGAAGTGGCTCTTTTCTTTCAGGACTAATAGTCAGATTTCCTGGATTTCCCTCTGTGTACAGTACCACTGCAGGGTTATTCCATGATCTTTTACTGCTTCTGGATGGGGGTACTGTCCAGTTCTAGGAATGTCAGGATGCTATGCAGAACGAGGTTTGCAATTAAATGCTTCCCTCTTTGTGTTACTCCAGACAACAAAGCGTTCTTCGTCATCTCCATGTCAGAGAATGGTGCTCACATTTACGAGCTGGTGGCACAGACAGTTTCAGAGAAGAACGTGTAAGTAATTGCTTCAGTTCCATCTGCTCTTTGATTCGCTGTACTTGTGAGAGCTTTTGTGTCTGCTTGTGTGTAGTAACTGTGCAGGTGTTCACGAGTTACCTGAGCTCATTTGTATGACGTGTGGCAGCCGTTGTAGTGTGCAGTGTATTAAACTGATCAGTGCTACGTGACAGGTTACATAATGCTTGCACTTACATTTATACATAAAAACAACTCGACAGCTCCTGCTAAGGTCCTGTCATTCATTTCCTTCTGCTGGAACATCCCGGTGAGGTGAGCATTGTGCTGTGCTGCTTCACTTGTGGCTGCAAGGTATTACAGAGGCACTGACTGTAACAGGATTTGAAAGAACAACAGGATTAGACGTTTCTGTTGATAAGAAAAGCAGTAATTGCATTAGCTGGATTTAAAAAGTGTTAAATGGAGCAGTATCCGTTATGCTTCACATCTTGCATGTTTTTATGTGATGTTTTTATGCAGATGGCAGGACCTTATAGCTCAGATGGCAGGGAATGTAAAAATGGAGAGTAGCAGAAGAGTGATTCCATTACCGCAGTCGGGACCTGGCGAGTAAGTAACAGCAGCTGGAGGAGGAAGGGCTGCTTTTCTTTCCCCAGCAGCCCATCTTGTGTCAGCCAAAGCAGTGATTGGCATGCAGCATTCAGATACAGGTGACTAAAAGTACATGTTGTTTCTTTCTTCCCTGCAGAGAAGAACGTGAAGAAGAGGAGCAGCAGAAGCTCAAAGACCAGCATGACATTCCTGCCAGTAGCCTACAAAGCCCAGGTAACGCAGTGGGCCTGGTAAAGGCTGTCAGTAAATTTGATACACAGAGTGCAAATGTGCCAAGGCATGTTCCTTGTGTCCTGGGGCTCTTTTGGTAGCACTGGCTTTTTTGTGGAATGGAACAGTTTTTTTACGAGTCAGGTAAAGAAATGATGCTGAAGCTCCTGGAAAAATACCTCTTACTATTCCCATTACAAATCACAGAAAAAGATGGTTTTTCTCCCTGGAAATGAACAGCCTTTTATCAAAGCTGTGCTCAAGAACCATTTGTTAGTGTTTTCAGGGATTATGAGAATTTTCTGCAGTTTAGCATCAAATTTGACACAGTTGTTTAACCTGAACACACGTTTTCTGTCTTCTAGACAAAGATCTGGGCCTGGACTCTCCATTGATACTGAATGCTCAGACTTCACCCACCATGTCTGAAAAGTCCGAGGTGGAAAGTCTTCTTGTGGCAGAAAGACAGTTTGATAAAGTGCAACAGGCAGACCTGGCCCTGAAGGAGGCTTCTCCGTGCTATGAACACACAGCCACCAATTTACCTTTGGTGTCAGGAGGGCAGTGGGCACTGGATGCATTAAGGAACCGTAAGTACCTGTGAGCTTTGCTTTGGAGATGGAAATTGTGAGGTCGACCTTCTGAATCAATGCTAGAATGGTACTAATGCCTGTTTCTATTAAATAATTTGTTTCTCTGTGCTGTAGATGACAGCATAGCAAAACAAAGTGGATGTGACATGAAGGAATTCTGAGTTCTGAATTTGCACACCGCTCACTTCAGCCACAGGCATCTCATTGCTTTGCTGTTGTTTCTCTGTGTCTAAAATGAGGGTAATCATGAATGGTTACGTATCGTCCACAAAGTGCTTTGATGACAAAATCAGATTGCAGAGCTCTGAGCAGTGCTGTGAAAAATGTCATTGCCAGTCAGCAGACTTCTCGAAGACATTGCAGTTACCCCATGGACTTGCATTCACAGCACCAGGGGTGCAGAACAGGAAGGGCTGCCTGAGTTGCAGGCTGTGATGTGGCATATTTCTTTTGCAAAATCATGCAGATGAGGTTGGATGTTTTACATGAGCAAGACAAAGTCTAGATGCAGATTTTCAGGGGATTTGGGAGCTGGCTGGATGTGATCAGATTGGTACTTGTCTGTGCTGAAAGCAGTTTGCTCTGATGAACAGATAATTCTGTAAAATTGTTTTTAGAAGATTCTCAAGCGTTTTCTCTGTTCTGTGGTCTACCTTTATTCAGAGGAAGAATGCAGGGCTGTGCAGCCCACTTGATCAGACCCAGCATTCTAATTCCTTGCGTTTCTAAATATAACTTCCTAAAATTTGAATGAAATCATTAATCTGTGCATCTCTCCCTGGCATTTCAGAAGTGGACACGCAGTCCCTGAATTGCACTTGAAGGGAATACTCTGTACTGCTTCTCTTTGGGTCATTTGCTGTCACTAGAATGCAGAGCATTCATACCCTTGGCCCCAGTTCCCTTTTCTCTCTCTCCAAGTAATTACAGTCTTCTGCAGCTTAATGGTTTACCTCAGATCTTCAGATCCATTTTCTAGGATTCAGAGGCCTTTTCTGATTCTGAATGCTGTACAGATGATCTTAGTAAGCATGTTCACAGACCAGCCATAAGAGAATCTCAGTCTGTGGGGTGTGTTAAGGTGGTATCAGTGACCCAGCATCTCTTGGCCATGCAGATGCAGTAGGGCAGCCCTCTGACAGCAGCAGTGGGTCTCACATTTTGACAAGAGCCTTCCCTTTAGCTGAAGGGCTGCTGTGCTGTGTGAGCCCATGGATTTTCCTGGGTGTTATGTGAGCATTACATGGTGAGAAAGAACAGCAACTTGCACTCTCGACGGCGTCATATTTTTGCACTGAACAATGTGTCCTTAATACGAAGTGTTTGGTTGGGATAATTTGAGCGCTAAAGGGATGTGGGTTGAAGTTCAGATAAGAATAAATTTACATGAAATTGTAGGGAAAATTGTGGATCTGTCATTTCAAAATCCAGTGGAACACGGTTAGTGTGCTACTTCGAGGCTGGGGTCCCCCATTACTGCCTTTGGGTTTCAGTTCATTTGCAGGGGGTAACAACCAGGCACTCAGCTGCCCTCCAGCTCACTGGACAGCTTCAGTAGGTGATTTCTCTGTTCCAAGCAAGGTGGAGCTTGGACTGATGTGTTTGCCCTTCCTTCTAAGGTGAAATGTGGAATAAAGCATTGGTACAGGGCTCCAAAAGACCTTTTATTTATTTTCCCCCCCCTGACTTCCCTCCTGAGAGCAGTGAGAGGGCTGGCTGCTCCGAGATCTGTCATTTGAAAGAGGGGCCTTTATGTGTAGTTTGATCTCTGTTCTGGAGGACACGGTCTGTGAAGCTTTGCCATGTTGTCTCTACTTGCAGTGGACTTGCTGAAAAAGCTGTTGGTCCAACAGCTTGGCTTTGCTGAGAAGGGGACCCTCGAAGACCGGCAGCGCTTCCCCAGGTTCAGGACCGTCTCTCAAGAGGCACAAACAGAGGGTGGAAGTGAGCTTGGATTGCAGCACTCCGACCATAACAAATTTCACCAGCCTGGAGCAGACCCCACGCTTCCAAGAAGCGGAACTAACGAGCCCACAGCTAATTATGGCCTCCGGACTTCAGCTGAATCACCAGCTCCAGGAGATGCCATGCAGCTGGGAGCGAGGGACCCCGGGCCCAGCAGTAACTTAGCGATGGACCGCATGGGTGTGAATCTGGAGGTCTCTGCCACAGAGCTGGAAGGGCTGGGTGCTGATGAGAGTGGGGAGCATTTCTTTGATGCCCGAGAAGCTCACAGTGATGAAAATCCATCTGAAAGTGAGCTGATGGAAAGGAAGGACGAGGAGGATGTGCAAATACGGATCTCAGGTGAGTTTATTTCCTTCCTTCTTGGGATGGCAGCCTCTCCCAGTTCAGTACTAGAGACTTGGGCTCAGTTTTGATTGGGAAATACTAAAGAAAACCACAGTACGTTTTCCTAGTGAAGCTTCTCTTGCTGATACGAGTTAGGACATTTATTTAAAGTTAGTTCTTTAGTCCTTGACAGTCATTTCAGCACGGAAAAGAGCTGAGCAAACATGTACCTAATGAATTTCCTATTTTATGAAAGAAGAAACCAAAATCCTGTGGGGTTAATACACTGTGACAAACTGTATTTACAGAGGCCTGGGCACAATGCAAGCTCTTGATTGCTATTGCCACTGGACCGTGTTATCTCTCAGCTGACGGTTGGAACCTGTAGGAAAAATATTTTCCCTGCAGGCAAAGCATTGCTGTAGTCCATACACAGAGTCATGGCTCAGGCTATTTTGTAGCTATTGCTTTGGCTTCTCATGATTGAGCTTGGGAAGAGAAACGTACAGTTCAGCTTGGCACTGCAGTTGTCTCCAGCGACCTCACCCCAGTCTGAAGCTCTTAAAAGCTTATTGTGATTTCCGTTGTTATTACATATGCTATATTTGGCAATGGCCTGAGCATCTCCCAACCTCTCTCTTCTACCCTTCAAGAAGGTTGTGGAGCTGTTAACTCAGCAGAAAGGCAGCTCGAAGGCAGCAGCTGTAAGCACCTTCATGGGACTTTGCACACTTTGCATTTGGAAAGTCCCGTGCTTTTGATCAGCCAAAGTGGTGACCCTGCACTAAATTTAGCACGCCAGCTTATCCTGTGCGTGCTGTGGTGTGAGGAGGCACTCACAGGTAGTAGATTCCATATCTCTTATCTGAGAATATGCTTTTATTTAAAAATTGGATTCTTCATAAGCCAATTTGTGGCTGTCCAAACGCTGCCTTCCAAGTGTGCATTGAAAAATCGTTTGTCTTGCCCTGAATTACAGAAACACTTTAAATTATTAAAAGCAAGCCAACAACTTGAAGCATCTAATTACTTGTCACCACTCACGCTGTTTACTTTCTTAACTGTGGAGGGGCATCAAAATCAGATTGCCCTGTTTTCAGTCAATTCTGCTTTCACGTGCAAGCTTTGCTGTAACGCTGCAGAGAAATTATTTAATGTAATTCTATTGCTAGGCACAGTTTGTGATTGCTTTGCTGTCTGTAACTGCATTATCTCTTAACGTATTTTCAGCAAGCTGGATTTTAAAGCTAACCCACCTACAAGCAGGTCAGAAATGGTTTGGGTTGGTGGGTGCTGTGAGCACGTGTGCAGGATTTTCAGGCTGGAAGCAGAGAACTGGGGAATGAATGCAGGAGGGGAGGTGATGAGCTCCTCTGGTCTCATCCTTGGCCAGCTGTGGTCCCCAAACCGGCCGTGATCTGCAGAGCTCAGCTCAGAACCAAGCTAGCTTGGTCTCATGCAATCACCACTCTGCATAGTGATCACAGATGCTTTCTCTTATCCATTTTAACACGTCTCAGGAGATGGGCCTCTCCCCACTTGCCTTCCTTAAAGTCTGCTTAAACTGTCTGCAGTTCAGTGGTTCTCAGCGCTGACGGCACCGAGGTGTGAGTAAAAAGCTGTTCTTTCGACAGGAAATTATTTGATCCTTGATGGATATGAAGCAGTGCAGGAGAGCTCCACGGATGAGGAGGTGTCGTCTCTGGTTCTCCAGGGTGCTGCAGGTGGCCACAGCTCTTTGGACTCTGCACAGCAGCAGCCCCTTTCCCCACGGGACACGCAGTCGGACGGAGGCAGCTCCCCGTTTGCAGAGGAGATGATGGTTTCCCGCTGGGGAGGAGTGGAAGAGCCCTGCACGGTTGTAGCAAACCCTCCCTTCTGGTCTATAGAGTCACGCGTGCAGATGATGCAGTATATTCAGAAGATAGAGAATAACCTTGAAAAGTTGAAGGTACTGTGTTTCTGCTTGCACCAGTCACTCTTTTTGTATTTCTTAGGCTTTGTTTTAGAAAATAACTTGGAAATGTTCAGTTCTGGGGAAGGAGGTCGTGCCTTTTTCAATCTCTGGTTCTTCCCTCTGGAAGCTTTTGGAGGGGGAACTTTTGGTGCCATTTGCTTGCATTGCACTGTGGGGTTACAGGAAGCCAGCAGTTCAGCTGCAGGCAGGAGGTGTGCGTGCTGCTTTGGTTTCAGTTTGGAGCCGTTCTTCAGGGACAGGACAAAAGTGCAACTGTGTAATGGTGGGGTTTCAAAGGGACCTCTGGTCTGATGGGTATGAATTATTGGCATACAAATTGGCTCTTGTTGCATGCTGCTGCCTTCAGCAGGAGGTGCTAAGTTGCAGTAGGATAATAATGAAGTTTGCAGCTTACTATATCCAGAATAATTTTTTGTATGTTTTGAGCATTTGTCCATACAACGAAGCATTCACTGTAGAGGATTTACAGCATCCTGGTGTGTAAAGCAGACCAACGTGTTAAGTTTGTAGCCAGTCTTTAATTGAACTCGAATGTGAAGAGGAGATGGAACATTGTTTGGGAAGGGGAGGCTGAATGAAGGTCTTGAGATCCAGTGTGGGTCACAAGAATGATTCCAGTCCACTCTCCCGCAGTGCAACGTATCTTTTCCCATTTGAAGCCCTCTTCAATCACTTGATAAAGAGGGAAAAAAAGCCACTTGAGGTGTGTTTTTGCTTTGTTTTTCAGGAGGTTGAGGAAGACTACATCATTCTCCGTCGCCAAGGGCTGGCTGGGTCAGCCTCCACAGGAGAGCACTCAGGTATGATCTTATGGAACAGGCAGTGCAGAGCACACTGACATCAGGCATTAACCAAAGAGTGCACAGTCAGTTATTAATGTTTTCAGACACACACACAAAAAGGTTTCATCTGCTTCAGCATCTCTAACAGGGTGCTGGTTCCAAGAAAGGTCACAGGAATCCATTGAGTCTCACAAGTGCAGAGGAGCTCATCTCACCCGTACCTCCAGCTGAGGACGTGCAGCTTCTCTTTCAAGAGGGCTGAATCGATGTAAACTCCCAAACAGAGATTTCTCAATGTGTGAAATGATTCCAGTCTTTCTCTGGGTTGCCTCTGGCACCGTGTGAATTGGCTGCTGTGTGGCCAGTCCCGTGGCACTATGTGGTTGCTGGGATTCAGGTTAAATGTGTGCTCTCTCACTCACACTGACATGCTTTCTGTGCTGGTGCTGTTGTTCAGAAACACCAGGCATTCGCCTCTCATTGCACCTCTCCTTCTCTCACCACCACTGTTTTCTGTTTTCCTCCATCAGAGAAAAGTTAGTCATGTTTTCAAGACGACTGAAGATTGGATGAGGACTGTCAGGACTCAGCACCCGCTGCCTTCCTTGTGGACTCGTAAGACAAGAGGGTTCAGACCATCCAAATGTGAACCATCCTCTAGCAAAGCAGGCATGGGTGCTTTTCCTGTGGGGCATCTGCACTATCTTGTCAGTGAGGGAGTCTGTTCTATTCTACTCCTCCTCTCCTTGGCCACCAGAAATCTTTTTTTGTTGTTCTTTTTTTTTTTTCAGAACAGAAAAACCAAACCAAATGTACAGAGCTTTGGGTGTAGGATATAAAAAAAATGTATTTAGACATTTAAAAAAAAAAAAAAAAAGGAAAAAAAAAAAAATCATTGTATTTATTTGACTTCATTCCGTGTATCAAAAGCACATTTTAATTTTTTTAATCTGCCTATTTTTGTTGTTGTCGTCGTCGTCGTCGTTGTCGTTGTTCTGTTTTAATTGGGTAGTGACAGTTCTGGCCCTGTGCATCCAGTGTGCTGTGCCTCCCGCTGCTCCTGAGCCTCGTTTGCTCCCAGGGCAGAGGATGTGCTTTGTGTACCTTCCCTCCACTGGACTGGACTCTGCACTCCCTGCTGGCACCCAAACTGCCAGGCAGAGAAGCCACTTATGAAGGTGTCACGATGACTTGTGGCTGGAACTGTGTGCATCCAACGGTTGCATGGCAAATGCCCACATCACCACGTGTCCAACAAGGCTTTTCCATGCTCTGAGTAGCCAGGCACTTGGGCAAAGTTTATTTCCTCCTCCCTCTCTCTCCCATTAGGGTTTTCCTTTGCTGACATGCGAGATAAAACTGGGAGAGGAGAATAGGCTTTTTTTTTTCCTTGACTTTGTTGGCTTTGATCATCGTCTCCTTTGTAAAGTGATAAAATTACTTGGACCTGCAGCACTTTTGTAACTCTTCTCTGGATCAAAAAAAAAAAAAAAAAAAAAAGAAAAAAACAGTAAAAAAGAAAAAAAAAAAAGGAAAAAAATGCAAACCCAGAAGTGTTTCAAAGATGTGGGGCGGATGGGTGTCTGTCCCTGATTCACTACTGAATGAATAAGGGCTGCCATTTGAGTTAGCCACAGGTACTGCTGATTATAGGGCCAGTAAATTTTAGTACCTGAACGTCTTGCTGAGGGCTTTGGGGTGTTTGGTTGTTGTTTCTTTCTTTGTGCCAATGTGTCCTCACTGAAACAGAGATGTGCAGAGCAGAGGAGGCTGAAACAGCTCTCCAGCACTTCCCTGGGCCTGTTCTGATGGGGGTTTGCTGTTGAGACACCTTTCTGTCTGGGAACAAGATGTAACCATCAGCCACCAGCAGAGCCAATGCTGGGCAGCCTCTGCTGGCTGTGCACTGCCCTGCGTTGGTCCTGGATGGGCAGCAGCGTGGTGAGGGGTGGCTGCCAGTGGGGCAGCTGCAGTGCAAAGCGTGCAGAGCAGTCCCTTTTTCCACCCTCTTTCCAGGTTTTAATCTGGTTAACGAACCCGAACTGAACAAACCCGTAAATCCCATTAACCCTCAGAACTGCAGGAGCAGCTGCAATTGCGTGGATCCTGAAGTGCTGAGAATCTGTCTTTGGTCAGCAGAAAGATCGCACTCCCTGCTCCATTAAAACAAATGTTTTCTCGTAAGCTGTTGGCACAGAGTCAGATCTCTCCTTTTTCTTTGAACTGAAGTTGGAGAGGAGATCCTTCTTCTTCTTCTTCTTCCCATTAGAAATAGGCAAGGGATGAGTTCACGTCCAGATTGAACAGAGAGGATTTGGGGCCCGGTGTGAAAGAAGGAGCCCCGATGCTTTGTGGAGCAGGGAGGAGTTCTTCTTTTGAAGAGCTGATTGCACAGAGTATCGCTGTTCACCAGCAGGAGCCTTGCACTGCCAACACAAGCCAAAGTGTTCTCTTCCATGCTGGCAGGAGCTGCTTCTTCCTCTGGTCCTGCTCAGGTCCATCCTCACCCCATGAACGTTCTGTCAGTATTAGCCAGGCGCTGCCCTTCTTACCTGCTGGGATCTCCCCTCCCCGCCTTCAGCCCTACCAGTTCCTTTGGTTAGAAGCACCCACGCTTCCTCTTCTTAGCCCCCGAAGCAGAATGCTGCCTCATGCTGATGCAGCAGCTTTACCTGATCCTGCCAGAAACTGAGCTGGGCTGCAGCCAGACCTGCTGTCCAGCTCCCTTTATTCCCCACCCCACATCATCCCCTCGCTCAGTTGGCACGGTGCTGCTCTGCAACCCACACTCCAGAAACAGGAGCAGCCCTTGGACTCCCTGTCCAAAAGCTTTGCAGCTTACAAGCTGCAGGAGTCCCTAATGATGCTGGGTGCGAGCTGCGACGAGGCCAGGGGCAGCTCTGTCCCTTTCCACTCTCAGGATGCACAGGGGGAAATATCTTTGCTTTCTGCTGGGCTGACAGGCAGCAGGGAAGGAGGCCTTTGGGGTGGCTGCTCTGCAGTGCAGGAGGCTGCAGTGCTGTAAGGAAGCCTGACCTGTTTGAACCCAGCTGCACAGAGAGCAGAAAGGTCACACGTGCTGATGGGTTTTTGTTTCTGCTGGCCTGCTGCTGCTGCGTTGGTCGTCCTGGCAAAGGGGGCATTACTCCTGTAGAGAAATGATGGTGGGGTCAGGGATCTGTGTGCAGGAACCTGAAATAACGAGGGATTCCTTTCTACTCTCTGGCACATCTACTGTATGGCAGAACCTCAGGCTGTGCCTCGCTGTGCGGAAGGAGCTGGAACTAAATGCACTTTTCAGGATTCCCCTTTCCCCTCCAAGCCATAACGTTTCTTAAATGCCAATTTCCAGGGTAAGAAAGCATTTTAATTCGCTCCTGCTTGGTGACTGTACATTCCCTTCCTCAGACTGGACAGCAGAGCAAGGCGATGCTCTCTGGTTTCTTTGCCCAGCCCATCCTTCCTCCAACTCAATTCTTTCCTCCCAGCTGTGAGATGCTGTCTGGCGTTGTGTTCTCCCTCTGCTCCCCAAAGAAGCCCCTGCTTCCCCCAAAGGTGCCAACTGACAAGCAGATGTACTGCAAAAGGGATCCTGCAGCCAAAACACTGCTGTTGCGTTTCGAATTCAGTCTTTCGGAGCTCTCTTCCTATTAGAATATTTTTATTTTCTTTGTACAACATACAATCGTGTACTCTTAACAGAGATTTACTTTAAAGAGAAGAAAAAAAAAGAAAAAGAAATCTGGAAGTATTCTTTAAAAAAAATACACAAGAATCTTTATTAATAATCCTGTATTTTTACTGATCATGTTTGAATGTCTAAAAAGACTTTATTGTTCTAATTATCCAGATGTATGTTTGTAAAATAGCTCTTTTATGACTTAGCTGATAAGGTTGTATGTTTCTGGAATTAAATATTGGTCACTTAAAAAAAAAAAGAAAAAGAAAAATGTTGTTTTCAGGATCTGGGAAATAGAAAATTTACGCGTTTCAAATATCATTAAATAAGCTTAAAGGAAAGAAGTTGTGACTGCTGGATTTTTTGGGGGGTGGCTTTGCTGGAATGGCTCGAAGCGTTGGGCTGCCTGCTGTGCTGATGGGCAGGGGAAGCTTTCCTGTGGGTGCTGCTGAGGAGGGGGTTGTGCTGTCCTTTGGGTTGGCAGCTCTCCCTGAGCATCCTATGGGTGCTGGGTGGGATTTGGACCTGGGACCTGTGGTCCTCGACCCGCCTAAGGGTACCCAGCAGCTGACTGTAGGCAGCCCTTCAGCGCAGCTCAGTCATCACCATTAAGCCCTGCTGGACTGATTTCTTCCCCTGCAGCATCACTGAAGGCTGCAGCTTTGTGTCGCCATCAGCCTGCTGGGCTCCCGTTGGGGTTTGCTCGCAGGGCACAGCACTGGTGGTGATGCTGCAGTGCAGGAGCAGAGTTCTCCCTTCTGCTTTTCCTTCCCTCCTGCGGTAAGGCTGTGAAGTTTCTGGAGAGGTTGCTGTATTATAATTGGTAATCAGAGCCCTATTATTCTTTCCTAATGATGCTGCTCGTGTTTTGCCTGTTTGAATGTTATTTTATATATTCCCTTTATTGCACTGCTGTAAATAAATGATCACACGTAAACAGCTGAGCTTCTGCTTGGTGCCTCCTGCAGCCTGTGCCCTTGAACCCACGCTGGATCTGCCAACAAATCCCCATGGCAATGCCTGAAGGTCCAACTGCATTGGCTGTGAGCTCCACCAGAGCCATTTCAGGACCTGAGAGGCTGCGCTGTGCTTTGGGATCGTGGCACGTGGGGCAGCGCTGACCTGGTGATGCATTCCTGTGCCATCCATCTCCTGCTTGTCCTGGTGCAGCTTCTCCCCTGGGTATCCCACAGCATTTCTCTCTCTCTGGGGACACCTATGCAGCCTTTACCTGGGGGGATTGGCCCCTCCTGGTTGCACCCCCACTCATTCCCAGATTGCTCTGTGGGTTGAGTTCAGGCAACCCCTATCAGCTCCATTCCAACACAACCCTACCATCCCTTCCACTTCATTCCAGGAGCTTTGGATTTCCCAAAGACCTTTTCTAAACGACCTTTTGTCAATACGCTGCAGGTCGTGGTTGCTTCTCTTCCCCCCAACTATTTCAGCACATTGGAAGAGCCCAGCAGTGATCCTGCCCATCTCTGCCCCATACAGCACCGTACAGCTGCAGCTCATCACTGGGCTCTCGGTGCAACGAAGCACCCAAAATATCTCCGCCGCTTTCTTGCAGCAGTTTGTTTGTTTCCAGATGTCTGCGCCTCATTCAACGTGAAGTATCTTCCCCCATCAATATTTTCAACCTCCTTGTTGATATTTACCCAGCACTGCTGAATAAACGGCACTAAGTGGAGCTCCGTGGGTAAGGAGAGCACAGCTGCGTTCTGTCGGCCCTCGAGAGGCTTTGCAGTCATTTCCACAATCTGGGTTTGCTGTCAGTGAACACATTTCCTACCTCCTTCTCTTGGAGGTCTGATTTTCTTTATGGGTGCCCCCTCGTTGGAGGCTGCGTGGGGCTGTGAGCAACCTGGTCAAGCAGGAGATGTCTCTGCCTGTAGCAAAGGGTTGGAAGGATGACCAGGTTGGAACGGGATGACCTTTGAGATCCTTGCAACCCAACCCATTCTATGACTTAGCAGCCAGGATGGGCCACGGCGTTGTCTTTTTAGGGTGGTTTCTTTCTCCATCTCTCTTTTTCGTAATTATTTCTCACCTGAAAGTCTCTCAAATCTTCTGCTCTCACCGCCTTTCAAAGAGAAGTTTGTTTTCATCTGGGCTTTTCAAGGGGCTGCTTTTATTCTTTGTCCGTGTGCAAGGAGAAGAAACGGCCTTTGGTGGTGGCAGCTGTGGGGGAGAGAACACGAAGGGAGGAGCTCTGCAATCCCAATGGGGGTCAGCAATGCAAGCTATCAGCACGACCTTTAGCCCTGCCATCACAAAGGTGCATCACAGAGGGCTCTGTGTGCAGGGGGAGCATCCCACAAACCCTCACTGGGACCACGGACGCCGTTCTGCAGTGCTTGCAGAAGCAATTTGCAGCAATTTGCAGCCCCACATTGGGCCGAGCAACGGGAGAGAGCAGATGAGGTTGGAACCTCAACCTCAGAAGGAGAAGGGGAGGGAGAGGGGAGCGTGGCTCAGCCATTGCCAGTGGATGGGACTGATCCATGCGGTGCTCAGCCCTGAGCCCATCGCTGTGCCCAAACCCGGCTTAACAGTGGGACCTGAAGGGATGCAGCCACAGCGAAAGGGAAACACAGCTGGGATGCAGGGAAGCCTTGCGCTGTGCTGGGAATGAGGGGTGCCAGGGTGGGCCGTCTGCAGGGGGGGGGATTGCTCACAGAGCGATGAGCTGTGGCTGTTGTCCTGCAGGGATTGATGTGTAAGGGATGAGCTCGAAGCTCCTGTTTCCTGCATGCCCTGTGAGCAATCTGTCTCTGGAGCAGAGGCGTTTTATTTTGTTTTTTGTTTTTTTTTTTCTCTTGTGAAGTTGATTCTGTTTCTCTTTCATCCCAGCAGGAGGGGAAGATGAATTTCTGTCAAATGAGAGTTCATTGCTCCAAATGCAGGAGTCC